GTCCAAGTTTCACTTGCTTAGGTTACAACTGGTCTGATTACAGTTTTTATATAGTTTTCTTTGTTTTCTTGTATAGCTTTTTTCTTTTTTTTTTTTTTTTTTTTTTTTTTTTTTTTTTTTTACTACTTAAGAATGTCCTGTTTCCGGTTGTTTTTTTTTTTTTTTTTTTGTTCGTAGTTTTTGTTTTTTTTGTTTATCTTGTTTTTTTTTTTTTTTTTTTTTTTTTTTTTTTTTTTTTTTTTTTTTTTTTTTTTTTTTTTTTTTTTTTTTTTACTTTTGAGTACTTTTTGACTACTGAAGAATGTCCTGTTTCCGGCTGATATTCTTTCTTTTATTTCTGTTAGTAATTAAATTCTTTCATTTAATAAGATCTTAGGCATTTGAATTGATTTATTTTTTCAAAAGTCTGGTTTCTAATGTTAAGGGTTTCATCTTTCTGTTCTTCTCTTATCATAGTCATGTATTTTTTTTTTTTATTATTGTTAACTTCCAGCCCTGCTTGTAGTGATGTGTCGTCTAATTCAATAAAGTTTTTTGATATGTCTTTTCCACTTTTCCTTAACAGTGTATATGCATATGTAAGATACTGAAGGGGTTAATTGTAGAGAGTGGATATTTATTGTGCGTCTTGGGTCTCCCTTAGAATGTATTCTGTTATTGTTCCTCGGGTGGCAATATGTATGTCTCTTATAAATCTCTCGAATAATCGGTTAAATAGCATACACGAAAGTGAGTCTCCTTGTCTTAGGCCTCGTCTCTACTGAAATTCCCTTGAATATACTTATTGAAACTTGATTTTGCTTTTTGAGTTCTTTAATGTTACATGTATCAGCCTTGTCATTTATTGGGTATGCCAAACCCCTGCAGAGTCTCATAAATTTTTGATGCTTTATTTTGATGCTGTCCTAGGCCATTTTTTAGTCCACACAGAGTTGATGAACTGGGATATTATATTTGTAACATTTCTCTAATAGGAATCTGATGGTGAAAATCTGATCAGTCGTTGATCTGTTTTGTCTGAATCCACATTGGCAGCCACCTAGTATTTGTTCAGTGTACTGTTGTAGTCTTTTGGCAATTAGTTTTGTAAGTATTTTGTATGTAACATTTAATAGGTAAATTCCTTTGTAATTTGTGCATGGAGGTTTGGAACCTTCCTCTTGTATTGGGGTTATTTAGAGCTGTTCATATTCTGTTGGAATTTCCCTTTCTTGCCAAATTTTAGTTATAAGTTAAAGTATCAGAGTGTCATTTTCTTCCTCCGTATTTAATGAGTTCTTCTGTGACGAGGTCTTCTCTAGGGGGTGTGTGGTTTTTCATAGAATTGATTACTTCTGTAGTTTCTTCCAGAGTTGGGAGTTTATTAAAGGGTCTGGTCCTCCGTGTGGTGGTTGATAATCTCCATCTTGTCCATGGTCTGCATTTAGTCTGCCCTCAAGATATTCAGCCCACCTCCCAAGTACTTGATTATTTTCTGTCATTAATTCTCCAGAGTCATGACTCTGACACGTATCATTACTCAGACACCATGGCATGCCTTATATCACGTGATAATGCTGGCTCAACGTCATGACCCTGACACAATGGCATTACACTGGCACCAACTTATGACACTGGCATTATGTCATGACACTGACAACTCTTGATGACTCTGACACCTCGTGATGGCTCTGACACTGCGTCATGACTCTGACCCCATGATGAAACTGACACCATGTGATCACTCTGGCACTATATCATGACACTGACATCATGGTGTAACATGTGTATATGAAGTTGTCTAAAGTTTTTTAAAGGTTCTGTTGTTTTTTAATGTCACCTTAATATAATATTTGTGTTGGGAAGGGAGAATCACAAGTTTTAGCCCCTAACAGCATTTAGCATAATTTTGAACTGTTTCTATCATTCATTCTTACTTTGGTTCTTCCAAATTTTTTTTTTTTTTTAAATTCGATTCTAATATTTTAGCTTTCATCTTTGGTCTTGTTTCCTACTTCAATCTTAGATATTTCATTAAAAGCCATTTTAAAGATCGAAATAGTAATCTCCAAGTCTGACAACACCGCTCTCTATCCTGGCTAATTTAATCTAAATGGGGAAACCCGAAACGTGAGCAGGCGAGACTTACAAAATTTACCAGACCACACCATCATAAACACGCCATGACCGCAAAACAGGATTCGATTTTAGTAGTCGCTCCATCATTTCGCTAGAGAAACATCATTACGCCATAATAAGGTTCGACCCTTGTAATTGCTGCATAACGAGGATCGGATCGCAGGGGCCATCTTGGAGAACTTGATCGATTCCACGGCCCAAATGAGACGAAAATTAAGTATTTGATAGGAGCCTGAGACGAGGTTGCTGGCGTCAAAACGTGTGTCCCTATTCGGTCATTTAGGACAAAAGACTATAACTATCTGGCTAGGGATTCTCAAACTGAAATCCACAGACTCCTTAGAATCCGTGGAGGTATTCCATTGGCACCGTGCTGTTTATTTTGTTTAAATACTCAGATATAGGAACTTCCGGAAGTGATCATAGCAATGATTCGACCAATCGTTACTATCCCAAATCTAAGTCAAATCATTGAGACAAGTACACACTAAGTTTGGGATCAGAGGGTGGTGAGGGTCAGGTAGGGACAGTGGTGATGGTACTAAATGGTAGACCCATGGAAAATTAAACCTGGAAAATTGCCAACGGTCTTTCTTCGGTAAGGGTGTTGGGGGTGGATGAATATGATACAAAGAGTGTCTCACTTTTTAGTTTTGCGAATTAAGACTATTTTGGGTTGTTGTTTTTTTTTCAATTATAATATCCCCAACTAGTAGGGCCGGTTATATCAACTGACGTGAATCGTGCTAATAAGACACATGTCGCTAGTTCAATCCCCACACTGCCCAGTGCTAGGTGTATTTTAATAAATACATTTTAAGTTTATTTTATGAATTTCCCCACACGTGGGTGACAATAACACGTTATTTACAGTTATGGTCTTGGTCTCATTAAACTGCATTTGTAGCATACCTCTAGTCTGTATTCATTTACGTTCGGACGTGTACTTCTTCACAACACATTTATTTTTTGTTGTGTTGGTGATCTGACCTCTATAAATATAAATGATGCATAAATATTTAACATCATTCTTAGAATAAACCAACAGATCAATAATTCACGCATTAATATCCATATACAAGCAACATTCTCTGTAATTTAATTTGGGAATATCATTTAATGGCCATTTACGTTCAGCTCAAAAGCGGCAGAACGGAGCCCAAGTTTGATCTACTATACTCCCGTCTTCCTTCCCCCAAGAGAAACTTTGGGCAGTCAGCCCATAAAATTATCTTTTTTTTTGTCTTTCCTTTTTCCGGTATTGATGATAAAGTGCATTTTTTGGCACCACTCTGGCTGGATTAACGCCCGTCGCTTGCCTCCCTTCCACGGGCACAAGCGCTCGGGACCAACATTATATTTGGCCCATTGTTTCAATAATTGGAATTCTCCTGACCTTTTCGGACACGTACGCTAGCTGATGAGGTAATAACTGAGTTTGTCATGAACAAATAGGCTAGCTGATGAGGTAATAACTGAGTTTGTCATGAACAAATAGGCTAGCTGATGAGGTAATAACTGAGTTTGTCATGAACAAATAGGCTTGCTGATGAGGTAATAACTGAGTTTGTCATGAACAAATAGGCTAGCCGATGAGGTAATAACTGAGTTTGTCATGAACAAATAGGCTAGCTGATGAGGTAATAACTGAGTTTGTCATGAACAAATAGGCTAGCCGATGAGGTAATAACTGAGTTTGTCATGAACAAATAGGCTAGCCGATGAGGTAATAACTGAGTTTGTCATGAACAAATAGGCTAGCTGATGAGGTAATAACTGAGTTTTTCATAAACAAATAGTCTAGCTCAGGGGTGGGCAAACTTTCTGTGCGGAGGGCCACATTGACAATTGTAAAGCTATTGGGGGCCTGCATGTATATTATGTCCAATTTTTACTTGTCGATAAACATTTCTATATATTAAAATCTGTAAATTCGCATTTTAGCATGACATGACAAAAGTCAAGGACCATTTAAAAAATAGAAAATTAGAAAGAAATTTGATAAAAATGTTATAACAATCATAACCCTACATAAAATTCTGTAAAATGCAACAAAATAACAACAAATTAATTTTTTAAATTTCTAAATGCCTTCAACTTCAAGGGCCGCATATCATTTGCTGGGCCCAGTCTGTAGTTTGCCCACCCGGGGTCTAGCTGATGAGGTAATAACTGAGTTTTTCATGAACAAATATGCTAACTGATGAGATAGTATCATCTCATGTCTAAAAGTTTCACAGCAATACATCTAATCTGTCTCACCAGTTTGGCAGCCATACAATCTCATGTGTTTCACTATTTAGACAATGTCGAGCCCCTCTACTTCTAGTTTGTCATCCCTAGATATGGGTATGTAACAATGGAGCTTACTCCTTAGCTAAGTAACACATCTTTAAAAATTATCTATGCAAAAATGACTCTTTCACTTACCAGTGCCGTTACAAATGCTGAATAAATCCAGAAGATACATTTTTAAACAAATCTCCATTTTTAAGAAAATAATAAAATGTATCTTCTTTTATGCTTTAACTTGAAGTACAAAGTTGAAATAAATGGTGTAAAGGCTTTGAAGCTTGTGGTGCGGTGCCACCAAGAAGTTTGGAACATCAAATGTCTTGATCATGATCAGTTACAAGTTGTGATTAAAGTTAGACCAGTCTACAGTCTAGCCACACAAGACATTAGGCCTTGACTGACTAGTCTACAATCTAGCCACACAAGACATTAGGCTTTGACTATCAATTATAGATCAACTTCTCAGTCGTTATGTTTACATTCAATGAAGCATGCAATAAAATATCTGTCTAAATATTGAAAAATAAAAAAATTGTACCAGCTTATGCATACATCATAGAACAGATAAGATTAATCAAATTAGGTATGTGTTGTTTTTAGATTTATTTTAGAGCCAATTCAGTGATCTTAAGTTTCCACTGAATCTAAACAACAACAAAAAATCTTAAAGAAATTTCAAACAATTTTATTTCACCATGCTGTTCCACCATAGACTCAAGAGTGACAAACACAGAATCTATGCCCAATCAACAACAAATTAAAGTCTCGGCACAAGAAACCAAAACTAACAAACGTAGAGGACGAAATTAGGCAAGGAAAGGAAGCAAGTCACAAGAAATAATAATGATAATAATGAAAGGAGTACTAACAGTGTTTGAATGATGAGAATGCAGACAACCCAAACTTGTCATGTCCAGTTATGACGGTCAGAGTCAAATATCAATACCATATTAAAGAAGACTACTAGTTTTTATCGGGTCTCAATGAAATAATAACAAATTGAATATGTACAAAATGTCAAAAGATGTAACACGTGTTAGCTTAAGTTAACAAGCAAAAACAAACAGTTGTCATCTCCAACTGTAAAACCCTCTTCCTGGTCGACACAAATTAAGTCATAAAAAAGCTATAATATAGTATAATTCAAATAAAATATTTGAAAAATGCTGGCACAAAAAGTTCATTCTTGCTATTGTTTTGCCAAAACTAACACAACCAGTCACAACACTCTACAAATGACAAGATGTACTGTACACAACTGTATCATGTCATGACATCGATTATTGAAAATTGTTCACTAAGTAATAGAAAATCATTTTTCTAAACATCTGTTTAGTTGATATTATTATTACCGGTAAATCAAGTTTGGTATGTACATATTACTGGTAGATAATTATGGTGAAGATTTGTTTCGACTATTTCTAACAATGATCTGGATTTAAAATATATGTGTTGACGTCCAATAATTTTTACTTGACTTTAGGGTACCAAAACTATTAATTAAATTAAATGGGGGTGGGGGGAAGGAGGAGAAGCATGATTGAATCCAATCACTTTAACTTGCCAACAAAGGCTATGACTATGAGCTTGGCAGTGATCCAAACAATAAACAAGGTCAAGGACCTAGGTGATCTACTCAATTGGCAACACCAAAAGGTATTCATTCACCTTTGAAATGCCTGTACCAAACACTTGTATCAATTATGGATGTTGGATTATCTATTATTAATACAGGACCTATTTCTGACTTACTTTCAGCGCAGTACACAATTTACTGGGATACTGCAATGCAACTTCACAGAGGACATTAGGCATCAAAGATAGAAAAGAGGAATGGAATGCGTAACAAAGCAATACTTTATTGAATTAATGAAAAGCACATAAGATTATCAAATAAAATGTACACATTTGCAAAAAATCTTGGTGAATAAAATGTTAGAACAAAAAGGTAAGGTTGTTTGATGAGAGAAGCAGTGGTGTGAAGATCAAACAACTCAAACACAACCAATGGTTCAACACATGTTACAACTACAGATAAATGCTTTTCTTTGTAGATTGTATAGTGGCACAGTAAGCTTTAAAGTTGGTTGGTTTCTCTGATAGCTAATGAAGTTGTGACCTCCACAAGCCTTAGTTACTCATGGACCATTTCAATTGATGAGGATCCCACCACTACCGCTCAGTGTCTTAGTGTCCAGTATTTTATTATGAACCCTCAGGACAGACTTTTCATAAATTAAACATTTAAAAAGAAGCTTATAAAAATAATACGAGATGAAAGTGTGCATTGGCATTACATTATACATAAATTAGACACTTGTTAATTGTATATCTTTGAAGAAACACACACTCACAGATGGACAGACTGGTATTGTACTATAAGGAATTGATTTCAAAATAGTAATTCAATCAACACAAAACATGAAGTCAAAAAGTTAATACTAGGACAAGTCTAAATTAACAAAAGCCTTTATCCCAAATTTCTTTTGTCAACCAAATAAATCATCAAGCAAAAGTCATTATTATCAATTTAATGCATTAACATGTTTTTGTTGAGTCTTTTTTTTTTAAATCTATGTACAAACAAATTTTTAACAACAATACTAGAAAATGTTAACCAACAATCAAATATAGCTCCACATTTCAATTCTATTTATTGTTTTGCTTTGGTTTCACAGACATTGTTTGGGATGTAATAATGCTATGATAACGATCTCCACTAACCCAATTGTACATTTGTTGATAATAAACACTGTTGAGGTCAGGTTGCAAGTTCAAGAAATGGGCCATAAAACCTGAGCCAGATGGCAGGATCATTTCAAGGGTCATCTGTTGGCTCATAACTTTTTTTTTATATTTGGTGAAGCAACTTTCACATATTGACTATAATTATGTACAGTTGAAATCAGTCCAACTCAGTATTTACAGTTTCAATGGGGGCCATGTGGTCATGTCAATATTGATGACAGTCTCAAAAAGACATATCAGTACTGATGACATTAGTAGTATCAGTCAGTTGAGGCGAGGGAGAGAACCACATAGCATTATATTTAAATACTCTAAACTTTACGGATTTTGTCTTCCTACCACAGGTACAGGCCCATGTACAGAATATTTACAGTCAACCGATGTTGGGAAAAACTTTACAACTAGGGGCCGCTACACATTTATGCTAAACCGAATCCTTCGGAACATTCACTAATAGCCAACAGCAACATTTTCCTAAGTTTATCAAACGTCTCATATGCTGGAAGGTCTAGCTGGTTGAAGCTGTTGAGAGATGAATATATTTACAATTATGGCACCCAAAAGTACTGTAATTCTAAATTTGCAACTTGATAATACAAATTTATGTGAAGCAAAAGCTCAATATGCCAATGATTGTTCTTGAATTAACTTGGAAAAGAAAACAACTGCAAATGACTTGATTCCTCCCTATAAATATAAGTGTGATTAAGGACCATCCATGACTTATTCGGACTAGTTCACTATTTGAAAGGATGCATAGCGCATGTCTATAACCTTCAAGTCTTTCATTAATTAACTCTTTTGAACAGATTATTTGGTTTTAAAAGTAAAGCTAATGACAACACATGAAAGGTATTGAAATAATTAATAATATTAAATAGTATTTCAAAAATATATCTGTGTATTTTTTGTGAATGCAGTTTAAGCAGTCGATAGCTCTAAACTTGATTAGACCAAAATTGGTGAAAAACATACCAGGTGTGAGCTGAAGGGAGGCGATCAGTAGATCTGTCATCTCTGTGAATCTGGAACTTCTGAGTTCCATTCATCCCTTCCAAGTTTCCAAATCCACCCAATGGGACTTTAGATGTGCCAGTGACAAACTGCAAAAAGTTGGCCCGCTCAGCCTGGTCAAAAGATCGCAAAGCTCTCCAAAACCACTGGATCTGTAGATAGTGGTCATATAGTTTAAAATTATACTTTTTAATATTGTTTGAAAAGAAATGGAAATATTAACCCTATTCTCCCAACTTGTACTAGAAATTACCAATACTATTCGAGTGACTATTACTGATGGCCAGAATTAGCTTAGTTTTGAAATTCATGTCAATTAACTTTGGTAAAGATAACTAGCAAATACTGAAGGAATAATAGGTAAAGATAACTAGCAAATACTGAAGGAATAATAAGAGTTTTCAAAAAGAAAAGGTTGTAAAGTCACAAACAGAGGTTCAAACAGAGATTTTCTTTTATCTGGAACAAGTGAGTGGCAGGTGAGTGGCTTACTACATGCAGTTCAGGGGGGAATGAAATGAGCTGCAAACAGTGTCATTAACATCATGCTGAGGTTGAAAGACTGGAATATTAATAAGACAAGTTTGTTAACAATGGCTATGGACATACCTGTAAGCTAGTTGCTTGGTATTTGTGGTATTCTGTATTTGCCTTGAGGTCATCAATATCAATTGTGGGTAGGCCCGAGATAAGCAGTTCCAGCTCCTGTTCAGTGAAAATAGATACCAATTTCTTGGGGATGATGTCATAAAAACCTTCAAGGAAAGAATTCAGCTGCTGTCGAATGGCACCAGTCATTTTCATTTGACACACCAGCTTAACATATTCCCGTTTGTTTTCATCAGTTACCAATACATTGGAGCCATTTGTAATGAGTTCTCTGGTCTCTGTCACACCAAACTCTTGGATCTGAAATTAAAGACAATTAGTAAAGTTTAATGGAGATATCGTATGGATTTTTTTATCTTATATTTTTTTTTTTAAGAGTAAAGGGAAAAAAAGGCACAATGTCTAAGACAACCTATTTTGAATCTGATATCAGATTTTAAAAAATGTTAAGGTTTGTCTGAAAAATAATGTAGCAGTCTTTGACTTAACTATTTCCTAATTTATAAGGAAAACGTTGTTCTCAGAATGCATAGCTCTAAAAAGTTCAATTGACTTTTTGACCATTCATGGCCGACACATTAAAAAAAACAATGGTAACAGTGAAATATATATAAAATAACAATATTACAAATAAATCACTAGACTAGGTATATGAAACAAATATTATGGCAAAATGTTTTCTTGAATATTTTAACAACCAATAAAATACATTCTTATCAAAGTAGGATAATACATTTTAAAACGGGGAAAAATGAAAAAAAAATAATAAAACGACAGAACATTGAATACATAGTTCACCTCTGTACTGAAGAAGATGTCATAGCCAAGATCTGTGACTTTATTCTCCAACAAAAAGACAAGCCCTTGATAGAAAGCATAATCTTCACTTTCCATGTCGGTGTACTTGACAGCCAGGCCCAGCATGTGTTTATAGAAGGATCTCGTGAAGTAGCAGTCAAGAAGCTTGTTGTCATAGACGGCCTTCGCTATTATGCGGCCAACAAATTTAAAGTAGCTTAAATGATTGCTGTTGCAATGGGACGAAGGATTTATGCTGTAGGTGACACGGTCTCCAGGTGAGGTGAGGAAGAGAGCATAATTCTGATTGAAAATCTCATGAGAAATGATGATATACCATTCTCTTAACAGTCCACCTGCGTCCTGACCTTCTTCACCTGGGAACAATATTTTAAGTACAAGTGTTAAAACAATAAATCAATTCAATATCATAAATAATCTTGCAACTTATTAAAAGGCAAATATAATTTTTTAAGCATTGTATACTTTGCTGCAATTTAAGAATTAGATTTTGCAGCAATTTATAACATAATGTTTATGACAAAATATGTTGGTAAAGCAAATAAATGTATATTCTGATTGAAAGTGAATAAAAATTTCTGCTACACATCATATGTGCATATGAGTTAATGTTATCTAACATCATTAGGCTGAAGTCTCTGAACGTTGAAACTTTTATCTACTTTAATCTATAATATGAAATTAGTTCTCTTTATTATTTAAAAGCCTGTGGATTAAAAAATATAAATACCTTCAAATACGATGTAGAACCTTTGCTTCCATTCTTCAGGGGTTCTTCTAAACAGTTCTCTGAAAGAGTCCTCAAAGACATGTGACCTACGAACATGTACTGGCAAATCCTCTCTTCTTGCACCCTCATTCATTCGTTCCAGTTCCTGTCGGAAGTATCTACGTTTTACATCAAAGTCCAGAATTCTGGTGTAGTCCACTAGTACTGAGAAGGGTCCTTCGGCTAATGGCAGTGTTGACTGTCTCAAAATTTGGTTTAACACTGTTCTGTGGGTCTCTATAATTTCAAGTGGATTTATAAATATGGCAATAAACATATTTAAATAGACACTAGTATTTTCTATTCATCCTCAAGATTGTTTGACATGCATACAGATTTTTTTAAATTGCAAATTTAAAAAAAAAGGCAAAATGTATTAGACAACACATTTTGAATCTGATATCATAAACAAAAATGTTAAGGGTTGTCTGAAAAATAATGTAGCAGTCTTTGACTTGACTGTTTCCTAATTGAAAAGGAAAACGTTGTTCTCAGACTGCATAATTCTCAAAATAAGTTTCATTGATTTTTGTTACCATCGATTGTTAATTTTCTATTCTCATCCACCATCTTGGAAATCCTTACATACTCCACAGCAGTCTTGTGACCCAAAATATTACAATAATTGCTGAAGATTATCGTCCTAAGGTGAAATTCGATGGTTTAAGAAATATTTTCACCTAAATCTTTAAATTGAGGTATGATAATCAAGGAGCAATTAAAGCAACAAATACCTGCAAACTTAAGGAACTTCTGCGTATCTGGTGGAAGGTGAGTTATGGAAGCCATGGCAATGCCCGAGTTGTCTCTTGCTAACTGTGACAGTGGTCCTTCAGCAGATGAGGGTCCGGGTGATGGACTAGGTGGTGCCATCTCCATATTTAAGTGGGCTAACTGATCCTCTCTTTTTGACGCTGGCTGTTCACTGGTTTTGTTGCCTTTTTCTCCTAATCAATAGTGATTGGTGTTATGGTAATGAAATACCCAGTTTTCAGTGGGGGAAAATATTATTTTTAAAAGAAAGAAAAACAATTAAATACAGTTAAAAAGGATCAAGGGTAGGGAAATGAATATTTGTTGATGTCCTGAAACCTTAGAACAATGCAAAGCCCTGCTCTTCTATACTCTAAAATGTTCGAGATAACTTTTTAATTGAAACGCCAATTTAAGAGTCATGTTTTTTTGTTTTTTTAAAAAGTATTTTCATACATAAATATTTTAATGGCCTTAAGTCAGCATTTCAGACCTGCGTGAACTATGAAGAAAGCTTCCACAGCTGGTTGCAAGATTAAAACTGCATGGTGGTCCGGTGTACGTGCAAGTTCTGCTAGACAGCTCCCCAGAGTTGACCACAGGTCTTCAAGGCCTAGCTGCTCACTAAGACGTGGAAGTGCTGGAGAACCAGCGGTTTGAGTGATGGAGGATGTTGTATCAGAAACTTTGCTTTCGCTGTCAGCTCCTATGGCTGAAATGTATGTCAACGAGAAACCAATAAGTAAGAAACAAAAATATTAAACCTGATAAATTTACTCCAAAATTTTAAAAAAGATCTTTGAAGACCCAACGTTCTGATGCATTTAATATTCAATAAAGAAAAATTTAATACAAGGCATCTAAAGTAATGTGAAACCTATTCAGCTGTATTTGACTTGACTATTTCTAAATCATAGTACATCTTTTCAGGATTTACATATTTTAGGAAATCCAATTTCATGATAAATTCAGAAAATTGACTATCACTGCATTTTTTTCTCCAACATTTGAAAAACATACCCCCACCAGTAGCCTGTGAATCAACTTCCATTGGAAGTTCTACACTTCTTGAGGCTTCTTCATGTCCCTGGCTGGCTTGAGACTGACTGACGGTGGGAACATCTGGTATTGATGACCTGTTGGTAGTGGTAGAGGCAGTGCGGCCTGCAAGAGGAGCAAGAGTATTTGATGCGGCTGGAGCATCAGGCAACATCTGATTGTCACCAAAGAAGTTAAGGAAGTCATCATCGACTACAGAATTCAGAATAGCATGGATTTGTTCAATGCCTGGACGACCTGTAAAGAGGAACAGACCAGTGAACCTTTCTTTTTTTTTTTGTGGTCAAAATTGAGGCAAAGTCTGAAAACTCATACACAAAGAAACTTTAGTTTGTTTTATAACTAAATGTTCTCAAAAAGCAGAGTCACTGACTTTCTCTTAATTTTTAAACTAAAAGGGAACAGATTTTGAACTGAATGTCATAAAAATACATAGTTTAAGAATAAGTTGTAAAATCTCCAAAGACTGTAATATTTTTTGCTCAAAATGTGCTTTTGACAAATGTAATAGCATTTTTATTAGTAATTAAGGCATACAACCTTCAGCTAGTTAGTTCTCTAAGAGATTACTATTTTTCTTTTAAACTTTAGAATTAGAAATAAAGTTTCTATCTTAAGTTTCTCTTTTAAAGAAAGCTCAAACGCCTGTTAATTAAGGTGTCAGAGCTTACAGCATGCACTAAAAAAATGAGGCCCTGATTGAATAGATTTTAAAGCTATAGAACAATTCTGATAATCTAAAAAGTAAATGAATTGTTTACCTCTTCCTCTGCTTGTAGGTTTCTTGTGCTTGTTTCCAGTTGTTCTTGCATCATCTCTCAGCTGAATTATTACTTTTAGTATCCTCAAGAAAAATTGTTGTCCAGATGTTTTGCTTGTAAGTTGAGACATAGATGGGAGCTGAAGTTCTCTGCCAGTTTTCAATTTAGTAGGTGCAGATAAAACAATGTTTGCTCCACTTGCAAATCTAAATCAATTTTTTTTAAATTCAAATATAATATAGCAACTATTATATACTATTATCATATGAACTTTTTACAAAAGTTACAGCATGTGTTCTGGGAGGCAGTAAGTAGACAAGAATTTTATCAACTTTAGACTTTTTTATGAAATTTAACTTTTTTTAAACATTTATAACTTTTAATAAAAATTCATCTTGTAACTAAGTATTAAAGCTCATTGACAAATAAAAGCAAAAAAAATCTGGTCAAGTAACTAGTATTTTAAAAATTGGTTTTACATTTTAATTAACTAGAATTTAAAAAATCATCAATTTTCTTAAAACAGAAAATCTTAGCACCTTTGGGCTTCCAAATAGAATCTACTGATTAGCAATTGGCAGATGCTGATTATTATATTTTGTAAATTAAATATGTTTTGCACGTTGAAAATGTGTATTGTAATTAATCACTAATAATAATTATGTACGTCTGTAACCCTCTGTTCAATAGGCATGCAAAATAAAATTACCAGAAGTTAGAACTAATTGGTATTCTTATAATTTGCGTTATTTGATTAGATGTTTTGCCACGTAACTCTAGTAGATGGGAAGTTTCCACATTGCCTCCCCCATTTTTGGTGGGTTATTTCTATTATTTAATAATAACTAACAATAATACAGCTAATATTTGTGCAAAATGTAGAAAGACAAAATTTGTAACAAATAAAGAAACTAATGGCCCAACAAGAAACTTGCAAATATCAATTTTAAGACAAATTTGTTAAAAACCTGTGTAAAATACATTCAAGATATTAAAACCATCTACATTTAAATCTAACATATGGATAGCCTTTACTGATATCCAAAGGCCAATTATCTGTCTATTAATGATCTAACCCTAGGTCAACCATCCAAGATGAGTCTGTGGCTTTTCCTGTAACTAATGGAATAAAACAAGGCTGTGTCTAGCCCCATCACTTTTTAGCATGGTATTCTCAGCAATGTTGACTGATGCTTTTCTTGAAAATAATGACATGCTTATAAGATACAGGACAAGCTGAGGGCTATTTAATCTTAGGAGACTGCATGCTATTACATAAGTTAGAGAAACGGTTATTTGAGACCTCTTGTTTGCTGAGGAATCTGCCCTAAATGCAAGGTTTGAACTGAAAATGCAGCAACACTTGATCGCTTCGACTAGGTCTGCGGCTACAACTATGACCGAGCCATCAGTATAAAAAGCAGAAATCTTTCACCAGCCAGCTCAGAGGAAAGCTTATAAAGAACCTAAAACATCAGTGAAGGGGCATAACCTCCAGGCAGTAGAAAAATTCACATATTTGGGCAGCAACCTCTCCAGGTCAGAAACAATAGATGATGAGATCAAAAACAAAATTTCCAAAGCAAATTATGCACTAGGAAGCCTTCACATGAGTGTTGGGAAGTGAAGGGGTCACCGTCTTGTCACTAAGCTGAAAGTATATAGAGCAATCATACTAACATCACTTATATGTGCTAGCGAGACGTGGACAGTGTACAGCAGACATGCTAAGACAGGTAAACCATCTCCACCTACGCTGTCTACATAAACGTCATGGCATAAGATGACAGGACAGAGTTCCTGATACAGAGGTCCTACAATGGGCTGACTGTATCCACACGCTCCTGCAAAAAGGACAAGCCACATGAGCAGGGCATTTGCAAGAGTGTCAAACAGTAGACTTTCCAAACGACTAATGTCGGGTGAACTCTCCAGTGGGAAACGCTCAGCTGGTGGGCAGAAAATATGCTTTAAGGACTGTCTTAAAGCTTCACTAAATTCATGAACATTGACCTTGATTCGTGGGAGGCACTTGCTATGGAGTATGCAAACTGGCGCGGCAGACTCATTGTCAGAGCAAAATCCTCCGAAAATAAGCACACCCGCTCATGCCCAAAGAAAGCGCACAGCAAGGAAAAGCAGAATCAACTCAAATCCAACTAGGACCCAAAACAACCTGTGTCCCACAAGCCGGAAAGTTCTCCAGGCAGAAATAGTACTGGCAGGCCACCTATGTACTCACCGAGTAATATTAGCCTTGGTTATTTTCACATGCGAAGGATGAACAACAACAATTTTTCTTTAAAGAGCTTAGCTTTTATATATTATTTCCTACTGGTTCAAGTCATGTTTTAATTGTCTGTCAAGATTTTTGTTTTATCCCTTTTCATAATTTGACAACAAATCTATTTTATAAAGTTATTTTGTAAAACAACTCACCTATCTTGAAGCATTCCTTTAGTAGGCTGTAGAGTCCCTGATGCTCCTGAAGTGGGAGTTCCTCCACTAACTTCTCCATTATTATCATCATCCATCATATCAAAACCAAGCCGAGAATTCAGATCTCGTAACTGCTCCAGCAAACTGGAAAATTATTTATTTTTTTTTTTCAACATATTTCTAAACTGTAATTATGACAATCAGTCGAGTTATTTTTAAAAATATTTTTTAAAAATATTTCTTAACCGATTTGTGTGGAAAAAGTGCTCTACAAAAAACATTTCCAAATTAGCCTTTATTTGTACCAGTGAACTTTACCAATAAGTGTTATTTCAGACTGTAGCATTTTTAACTACACACATAGAACAATACAACAACCAATAAGTGTTATTTCAGACTGTAGCATTTTTAACTACACACATAGAACAATACAACACAAAAGGGCTTCGGATTTTCAAAAGCTTGCCTTTTTTTTTTCTATTTGCACCATGGGATATCTTTAATACCTGTTTATATGTCCACACACTGTCATGCCTAGCTGTCTAGCACCTGACAAAAGCAACTCCAAAACAGCAGCACCCGTGGAAGTATTGACCCATGATAGTTGCAGAAGCAAATTTGTAGCATCCTCTAGTCCTTCTTCAGAGCATGACTTAGAAGTTAAAACCTATGCAATATAAATTGACAGAGCTTTATTATCTACAAGTTAATTCAAACATTACTGTCCGAACATAAATAAGAAAAAATATTCAACTTCATTATATAAAAATGTTGAATCAAGTTTAAGATTTCTACTGTAAAAAAAATAAATGCAAGAACAAATTAGCATTATTTCATTTGACCTTTAGTGCAGTAGTGGCGAGGGTTGGTTAAAATACATTTTCCCAACCATCAATTATGGGAAACAAATGGTACCAAACTAAATTATTATAAAAAGCCATAGAAGACACAAAGGCAATTAATACAAACCTCTACTGCTAATTTCAGCTGGTTGTATAATATTGGATTATCCTCCTCTTCTAAGTCAGTTTCAGCAGCTGAGACTCCATCTTCTTTTTTCTTGGTTTTTTCCTGAACACTTGAAGATGCTCCTGCTAATGATAGAAAAGTTAGCCTTAGAGGTCAGAATAAGAAATGTGATGGTCAAACTCGCTGTCAACGCTTAATTTATTTTCGCATCAATACTTTGTAAGACTGTAATTTAAGACTTTCTGTAAGTAAAATTAGTCATTTACTAATTATTGCTAAAATAATTTAAATAAATGCAACAAAAAAATTTAAAATAATTAAATTTAATATAATGAAAGGTGTCAGGAAAAATGATACATTACCTTGGTTTCCAGACTGTGCAGTTTCTTGCCCTGCAGGAGGAATTGGGGGTATTGCAACAGAGACTGCTGGTGTAATCAAAGCTGTTGAAACTGTTGGTGCTGCTGTCACAGCTGCAACAGTAGTGGCTGCAGCAGTCCTGGCCGTAGAAGTGGTTACAGAGGGGGCAGTAGATGCTAAGGATGCTCGGGTATTGTCTGGCAAGCTAATTGCAATTAAACCCAGAAGCCTTAACAGGCGATCAGTTAGCAGCTGGCTTCTCCGCACAACTGGATGATTTAGCATGGACATGAGTTGTCCCAGTGCACTGGTAGCATAGTCGGTGGCTAACATCTCAGACTCAGATGAAGCTCCACTGTGGCTGCGCTGCACACCTGGAAATACAAGTTTTAACCAATTCAATAACTTCTGGTTCCTTGCTAACACACTTTTTTTTTTAACATTTTTTTTCAAAAACCACCTTTCGCAGATAAATCATTTCTATCAAAATTTTTAGACAAAAACAGTAAAACAAAAGATTATGGGATAACCAGAGATATAGATTTTTTTGGTGTTTTTTTAATGACACAATTTTACAATAAATATTTATGGAAGAAAAGTCAAAGAATACTGCAGCAATAAAAGATCTTATAAGTCTTAGGGAAATCATGGATTTTCTGGGATTTTTTCAAGATCACTGGAAAATAAATTATATTTTAGATACCACCAATGAATAACAATAGAGCTGTCAACATGAAATATTTCTTTATATATTTCATTTAAATTTGAAGGCTTTTAGAAATTATTTTATTTCTGAAAAATTATGTTATTTAATTTGTGTTTATCATTCTCTTTCTATGACTGTCAAGAAAGTAAATCGCCTGAATGTGATATAATTTATAGTTTAGTTTTTCTTTCAATTCTTTTTCCATTGATATTAAAGGTTATTGATCAATTAGTTTTGAAATTAGCTTTCATGATGTCTGTCAACATCAGGTTTTTTCATCAAAAGGGAATTTCAATTTCATTTGGTCCAAACAAAGAAAAATTGGTCCAAACAAAGAAAAATTCAGTAGGTAAAGATTTATCTCTTATGTAAACAAATAAATACCACACAAAAATGTGCTATTGAAATGTTGAATGTTTTGCTATTTTTAAAACAAGGTTCTTAAATTTTCAATTTAATTAAAAAAATTTAAAATCTTACAAAAATTACTGACCTTTTCCTTTGCTTTTACAGGATGCATTGTCCAATCTGACAAGAATATTCCAGAAATCATTGTCATTCTTGGGATCATGACGTGCTGAGGTTCCAGAACTGGCAGAGTTCTCTGAAGCTGCTCGTGTGGATTTAGGACTAGACTGAGCTGCAGCTTGGGTGCCTGTATTAGGCTTTTTAGATCCTGATATTTCAGGATCTTCCTCCTTACTACCATCACATTTGTTTAATTCTTTCACTTTTCCTGCAGGCAGGAAGTAAGTTGGGAAAATTTTTGCCAAAGAAATAAGAGTGTCTAGTGCATGTCTACAAACAACAGGAGCTGCCTGTGGATGTATGCTAACCTGTGCAGGAGCAGAGCTACTAAGTTTTTTACCAGAGGTCCTGTGAATTTGGAAGACATTTGCCCTACAGCCTAGAGCTGCTTCCAAGCTGATGGACAACCAGTAACCACTTCCACCAGTACTGGTAGGGTTGGTGGATCCGATGCCTAATGGTGTATTAACTGAAGAGGGATGCGGGTTGGTTGTTGGAGCCAGGCTACTTTCTGATTGCATAGATACTAATGAGTCAAATGAGGTTGTTGAAGAAAAAGATGTAACTGATGATGCAGCTGCTGATAAAGCAGACTTTTTCCCTTTCCCTTTGTCCTTAAAATTAGGTGTAACAGCCGCTTCCAAATACAGGCTATTAGCCATATGGCTGGTTGTAGCATTGTCTCCAGCTTTCTGTATAATTGACAATAGGGCACGAATAAGCCATGCCCTGGTTGGTCCATGATAACACAGGTTACGAAGCACTCGATGCAGGCGTGTGGTATTCAGCTTTGGTTCATCAATGAAAAGCAGCACCAAAAGGCAAGTTAAGGCTTCTGCATCCAACATGAAGCGGCCTTTCACTTTGGTGGGATTAGTTGCTCCTGACTGTCCTTGGTTAAGGCGGCTTCCCCCAAAAGACCATTGATTGTGACCTTGTGTTGCTCTAATGGCATATCTTGTACCCAATCGACCGGATAATGCTGTGAAATAAAATTATTTAAAATTTGAGTTCATTGATCTTTTATTATGTATACATTTTGTTTAACTAAATTTCACCACCCTTGCCGTATGTGTGAAAACTCACATAACCTGAAACACATTTTACTACAATCTTCAATTTTTTAAATTGTATACTATATTTGCTTTTATAAAATAACTAGTTGCATACTGTAAATACTCATGCTTTTTAAAGTTACAGATAATATATTGATATTAAAAATTGAGTCATTAGAATAAATATAAAGTTATTTAAATAAAGTCACAATTTTCTCACACGTCAATGGTATTATTAGCGAGCTTTTTAAAAATCTATTTTATTTTGTTGCTGTGTAACCAATCCTAAGAAACTTCACACTTTACTATTTATCTGCAGTCCTTACAAGAAGTTAGGATTAAATGCAATTATGAAATAAATTGACATGTCTCTTGGTGGTAAGTTACTTACATAGTGTAACCAAAATAATTCAACTATTTATGAATTATAAATAAGTCCATTGTTAACTTGACAAGGGCTAATAAGAATATCCATATTATGGAGTTTGTAAAAGGATGACCATGACCTCATTGACACAAAACTATCTTTAGAACACTACTGTTTTAAGTTGCATTTATTATAAGCACATCTAAAAGTACAGCAGTCAGTAGTGTGATTTTTTGTTAAATTTTCATTAGTTCTCAGTTTCTCACAAGTCCAAAGGCTTGTAGTTAAAAGACTGGTAATAATAGATGGCTTTTTTCTTTTTCTTTCAGATGGCTAATTTAAATACACTAATGGCTTAATTGCTAATAACAATACTTAAAGAATAAATATTTTTCACGAGTTTCAAAATAAATGCAAAGCTTTTCTTTCATTAATATCCCAGTGATGAAAATTGAGATATGACAAAACAATTGTCGCCATGCTGAGTAATTAAAATTATCATTCCGAAGGCCAATTCCTTTCGTTTCTGATGTGTAATTGTGCGGAATAAATGTAAGCGTTAAATTCATGCACTTGTAACACATGAGTTAATTATGATAAATTTATTGATTTGAATATTCTAAAAAAATTCATAAAAATATCTAGTACTTTTGATAATAAAATATTAGATTAAAAAAAGATTAACAAATGTTCGCTATCCTCAAAATTAATTTTAAATATTAATAATCCATGTTGAAGTCACTGATTACTATAAAATTCCTTCTTCTAATTCATGCTGTACAAGAGAAACCAGGAAAAACCAAAAGATGGTAGTATCTGTTATGAAGGAAGATAGCAGAATTGAAAAAAGTATGAAGATAAAAAGCCAAAACTGTCTATCAGCAATTCAGTTAAAGCTACTTAAAGGTGGGTTCAGAACCTACTCTTCAGATACAGTAAAAGTATGCACTAAAGCCATCACTATTTACAGTAGAATGAATAACCAACAACCTATTATTGAATTAAATTAAGATTGTATTTAAATCAGTATTTGTTTGGGATATATTAAAAAATTCAGTAATTTTCAGAATGCACTTATCTGAGATAAACTTCAATATTTAAATGCTAATCTAAACATTTTCTAAAACGAAGAATAGGAAAATTATGGAAGACAAAAATGCAACTAAGCATTTTCCAGTTTCTGCCACTACTAAGATCCTAAAAGTGATGGAACAATAGTTGAATAAGCAGGTTAGCAAAGAAATCTTTAGAAATGTAGTGATTATAGGAATTGATTGCAAGCAGCAGCTGAAAACGGGGTAAGAACGACAAAGGCCTAACCGTTGTGCCTGAGAATAGCTGAGATTGAAGCCGCACCAGCCTGAGCAAAGAGCCGCTCCTGCAGCAGTCGTCTATGTCTTTCTTCCATGTCTCGACGCAGTTCCTGTGCCTCAGCTGCCAGCTCAGGGGGTAGTACAGCCAACATGCTATCATCCATGTCCGAGAGGACCTGCTGTCTAAGGGAGGTGGACAGCGTGGAGAAGAAAGTGGCTGGGTCCACTGGGAGGTCAGGGTTGGCTGCACTTTGCTGCAAAGCTGCCATTCTTGCCTGTTCTGCTCTCTGCTGAGCAAGCACCTGGAAGGTAAAATGAAAGTGACAATAATTTTTGCATATTTTATTGGCAGAGAAATATCTTATTGAAATTTTATTACTAACTTTTTATTAATAAATTAATATTGCCTTTGGTATGTGATTTATGCGCATTACATTATTTTACATCACCAGTAAAAGATAAACTAGCCAATCAATTAACTATTTACCTCCTCTTGGATAGCAGGTGGTAGAGCAGCTAAAAACTCAGGGTTAACTTCCATAGTCGTGGTGCCCTCTCCCCCTCCTGAGTCACTTGTTGAGGTACTTTGTTGTGCCTGTTCTTGTGCCCGTCGCCTGATCCGCTGAAGGCGCAACTGTTCTGAGATCACTTCCTGACGAATGTGCTCTGGTAGTGCTGCCAAAAAAGATGGGTCAACACCTTCTGGTATTTCTGGCTCTAATGAAAAGAAAAAAATGCACTTATATTACAAAAGAGATCAGGATGAAGATATTAAGAAAAAGATGGCTTAATCTAAGTTCATAAAAGTTGTTCAAAAAATACAAAGCTAAGAGGATTGCCAACTTGGCAATAGACAATTAAAAAAAACTGCACAAATTTTGTATTAAAATATTTTGTATTTATATTATTATGCCTTCTTTTTCCCGTTTAACTCCTGTGATGAAAGCTATCAGCAAATATTTGCACTTTTGTCTTCTAATGAGCTTTGTAATCCCTCACAGTTTTTTAATTTAATTTTTTTAGCTTGACCTTTCTGGTAGTCAGCGGTGGCACTTTCCCCAAAACCACCAGTTAGTTGTATCAGAATACTTGACCTAATACTTGAGATGGATTTGTCAAGTCAATTATTAGGGCTTGTAGCATTTCAACTGTCACTAAGGTGACATATATATAAGGTGGCTGATAACCAGCAATGATAAAGATTGCCAATAATGGAAGGACGTTTCATTGGGAGTAGTTTCCCTGTTAGTAAATAGAATAGTGCTCATTTAGGAAATTGCAAAGTGCTACTGATTATCAATGTGGCTAGAAACTGTGACAAAACATACATTATTCACGCAAACAAACAGTGTCCAGTGTTATCGACTTTTACGCATATTGTGATTTTGTGTTGTATGGGTAGATTATTTTGGGTGGATGTTGCTATTAAATGCATAGTATTTTGTGACGTATTTTGTGTAAGGGGAAATGACATGAGAGTTTTGTTGTCATGGTGTGCTGAGATGTTGGATTTTCAGCAAGTATTGTATTTGAAAAAAAGAGATGTTTGTTTTATGAAGTATTGGTTTGTTTTTAAGTGACAAACGAAACAAACGAACTTGGTAAGAACCCGTTTGTAACATCAAGCCTAAAATCCCACAAATGGGCAATATGTTCAGGTCCTAAATATATCCGGGCACAATGGGTAGGAATGCCATTTTTAAACTGACATCATGGATGTGCTTTGGTGCTGATAGGCATGCTTCTTCATGGCCGCATAGAAATGGAATTTCAATTTTCATTGTCATATTTTAAATGGCTGCCCAAATGATAAAATAGTAAATATATTACTAAAATAAAAACCAGAGCCTGTAAATTTCAGTATGAACATTGTGAAGAGAAATGAAAAATGTCAGAAAAAGTGTATTGATATCAAACTTGATTTTAGCTAGTGCATTTTTTTAAAGGCAAAATTGAACTCAAAAATGACATTTTAGAGGTGTACTGATTACATCATTTTAGCTTAGGTACTGTGGCATAAATGTACCAGTGCTAAGCCATGAAACAAAATGGCATTCATTCAGTTATATCTTATGGGGGTCAGAGTGTTTATAGATTCTAATACTATTATGGTTTCAGCAAACTTCAAAATAAAAATTACTTTGGCATTTTTGCTTTTAATTTTCATTATGCTAAATTTGGACATACCCCATATCCTACCCATCATAGTGGTGTAAAAAAATGTGCTTGTTACTAACCTGAACTGGTTACTCCATGTGACTGCTGTGCTCCAGATATGCTTGAACTAGAGGCACTGCTGCTTGGTAACGTCTCTGATGGAATACTAGGTGTGACTGTGGTGGTTGTTGGTAATGTGGTTGGTGTTGTGGTCGTAACAAACGTGAGGTTGCTTAATGGTGGTGTTGCCCCTGTGACTCCACTGCTGTAATAGGAAAAACAATGAAATGAAATATTTACATCTTAATGTTTGTAAATTATACCCTTATAAAACTAAATGTAGGTCAATAAATATTAAAGCACATTTTAAATGTTAAATCATGATAAATTCATTTCCTATAAGCACCAAAAACATATGTGCATTCAAATTAAGATGATCAAATTGCAGAATCCCACCATACCAAAATAATCAAAATTTATGTCTCTTAACTGCATAAAATATAGATAACTTTAAATATTTTATTTGCTGGTCATCTTTATGAAAAAAAACCTATAAAATGGTTGCTGAGCCTGAGAGAAAATGCTGGTGAAGTCATAAGCAAGATCAAGGCCACTGCATAGAGGTGTAGAACTTGCAGGTGTTTGCGGTGCACTTTCAGTTAGTGAAGCTGAAAGAACAAAATTAAGATGTTATTTCAAAAGTAGTGTTCCTCAACCTTTTAACCATATAATAATAATAATAATAATAATAAGAGGTCTTATGTAGCGCGGTACCCCAGCCTAGGGCTGGGCTCACCGCGCTGTACATAAAAATGTTATCAAAAGAGACATAATCATGACATATACCCAATAACATGTTTGTTTCTCAAGAACAATTTACAACGGTTATTGTGTAATATAAGCTTAAGCTTTATTATTTCAAAAATACATAAAATAAACTAAGCAACGTAGACTTATTTTTAACAACGCAATCAAGAACTTAACTCTTAGTATCCCTCATCAGATCATTTGTTATTCCCTTGAACCCATTATTCCCCATTTATCAGTGTGGGTGTAAAAAATAGAAAATAAAGCCTTAATTAATTATATTTAAAATGTATAATGCTTTACAAAGTACCCAAAAAAATATTTGTAAAATCTTTTATAACTTACGCAGCTCAAAAAGTGCAGGGACAGGTCTACTTGAGCTAGCCACAGATTGTGGGAAAGACATTGATGAGGTAGCCATTTCCCCAGTTAGCCTCTGTTGAGGATTATTCAGGGTTGCTGTGGTTGACGACTGTGTTGTGAGGGTATCAATATTAGGACTGCCGTAGAAATAAGTTGGTAAACCGGTACTTCCAAATTGTCCCTCATGATGCCAAGGATTATGCCTTTAATTAAAACAATTGATAAGACATTCCACTTGAAATAGAACATGTAGTGTATCCAATTATGTTAAAATGCTCACTACATTTAAAAATGCTGTTAGGATATATTCAAATTTAACAATAAAAATTCAGAAATAAAATAAGTAGCTGGAATTTTTTACGCAATCTTCAGATAAACAGTAAGGGGAAAAAAAAGACCCCAAAAAATTACCTGATGGCTAATGGAGGTCGAGAGCCTGGTAGTGCAGAACTTGGTAAAGGTAAAGGAGGGGGAGGAATGGATGGTGTGGTATTTGTGCTCCCACCACCTGTGTATGGCTGGTCAGACATAATGCTGTCAAGAAGCTGACTTATCATAGAGCCTGGGATAGGATTAGGTGTGGGAGAAGGCCTGGTCTCATCTGTTGAGCTCATAGTTCCAGTCATTCCAGTTGCCCAGCCCTCAAGATGGGGATTGTCTCGAAGATGGCTAGCTAGAGTCTCTGATGCTGCTTGCCATATTGAGTTGAAGGAACTTGTACTTGCTGGGGGTACGTTGTCACCCAAGACAGACTGCGTTGAGCTTAGATTCCCAGAACTGCTAGAAGTTAAAGGTCTTGAAGATAGAGGAATCACTGGATGTTCATGGCTAAAAGAGGATTGGGATCCTGAATCTGTTGCGGACGGCTGAATAACCATCATTGGTTGCCGAACAAAGCGACTTTGAGATATTGCTGAAGAATTAACTGATACGGGTCCATGGGCACCAGTAACATTAGACGCAAATTCTGATGCAGATGCAGGAAGTCTAGAATTGGTCTGCACTGGAGTGAAGTCTATACTATTAGCTACAGCAGATGCAGGAGCAGACCGAGGTGCAGAACCAGCTGAAGCAGATGTTACAATAGTAGCTGCAGGCTGTGATAAGGCAGACACAGAGCTGGCTACCAATGGTGAAAAAACTTGCTCTACCATAGCTGAGGCCAAGATTTCTGCAGCTATGGAAAGAAAAATATCTTATTTAAATTTTTTTTATCAATTAAGCAAATCAAAAGCTTAGTTACTATTTTAATAGACAGAAAAATATTTAATGATCAGATCTTAATAAGCATTACTAAAAATTAAAGTTTTAAATACTTAAAAATAATATTTAAAAAAACAACCTTGACTGGCACTATTTTCAGCATTTGAAGTCCGTAAACGTGGTGTAGTAATAATTGGCTGAAATAAATGGAAAACTTTTATACTTATTAGAATTTATTAATTGAAAACTAGAAGATAGTTTATTTTTCCAATAAATTAGGTCAGAAATCGGTCTTAATATTTGAAAAACAATATTGCACTGTTTACTAAATTATATTTGTCTTTTTATACCACTAAAACTATGAAGTATGATTGTAAAGAAGAAAAATTTGGACAATACACACCCCCAGAGAACTGCTATTGTCCACTGCATTTGACATTCGTAATCGGGGAGTTGTGATTATTGGCTGGAATTATAAGAAAATTATAAAACTTTGAAAAAATTATTCATTGGTAGGGAAATAATTAGGACAAACAACTCAGTCGTAAACAAAAATAGCATGAAACATCTAATCAATAACACTAGGGAAACTATCTTATTCAATAATTTCATTTATGAACATGAAATATTTGTAAAAATGAAGGGGGAAGCACACACCCCTAAAGAGCTACTATTGGCCACTGGTTTGGATTCAAGCAGACTGTCTTTTTTCTTATCATCTGTAGTTCCAGAAGCTTCAGCACTCTTTTTCCTCTTTTCTTTCCTTTCTGCTAGCTCTTCATCTCGTCTTTTAACCAACTCTTCAATAAGTGGTGGTTTAAGAACTATATCAAAAGAGAAATAAAAATAATTCCAATTTATCTGAAGCTGTGAGGCAATCAGTGGGACTGTTTCAGCACTATTAAAATATTTGAGTTACAGGGTAGCTTGTAAAAGCTTGTTCTTAACTGTTGTTAACTGATGGGTTTTAGTGTTATTTCTCAATGTTTCATATCTGAATACTCATTAATAGCAATGTATGATAAAGAAAACTTTCTTCAGGAGACCCACTGAAATATTTGAAATTACTCTGAAGCAACTCCAAATGTTCAATACTCTTAGGAGGTCAAGAGTCTTACGACTCTTACGACCCCGGCCATGGAACATGGCCCAGTAGTCCCTAAGGGCCCCGGCCATGCAACACGGTCTCGAGTAGGGGAGTTGGGCAGTTTGCTTCCACTCATTAGGGGACAGTTTGCGTCGCCACCCCCTTTGCCCAGTGAGTCATACGGTCTGGACGTTGGTTTGGAACGGCTTTGCTTCCTCTCCGGGGATGGTGCTGCGTTACCTCACCCCACCGTCCAGGGAGCCGTACGTTCCTTGGTGTGGCATGGCTTTACCTCCTCTCCGGGAGTAGTCTGGAGCTTAACTTTCTCCCACCGTTCCTGGGAGTTGTGTGGACGTGGGTCAAAATGGCTTTGCTTCCTCTCCGGGGAGGGTGTTGCGTTACCTCACCCCACCGTTCTGGGAGTAGTTCGGACAGGACTTTGTCGGGACAAAACGGTCACCTAGGAGTGGGTTTCTCAGGGCCACGTTTTTAATCCTCAGCGAGGGTTCCGAAGAATCCAAGCCTCATATCCATTATCGGAGACAAAATCAATGTATATATATACATAAATCAGAACATTTTGAAAATAAAATTTTTTTTTTTAAAAAAGAATAAATGACAAAGAATGTAAGCAATTTAAAAGCACAACGTACTCATTACAAGATCATGAACACCATCACCATCCAAAACTTTAGTCTCTTCAGTCCAACGAGATAGTGTTGACGGAATGCAAGACAAAGCACCAGTTCCTGATGACCCACCATCTGCATAGGGATCCTGAATTACATAATATAGTTTAATAAAAAAAAAACTAATCAAGTAGTAAGTGTAACTTGAGGGTCTGATTTAATATTTCTTAAACAAAATTTATACACCTTTCTTATGGCAAATAAATAATCTTCTAAGATTTGTCCCACTTAACTTGTTACTACATCATGCTTTGGTTCTTATGCTTTGTATTAACCAAAGAATACAGCGACCAATTCTCTCATTTATTGTAGATCTCAACAAATTACTTAATTTAATTAAAAAATCATTATAGCCCAGATTATATCAACCGATCACACAGATTCTATCTTGTCCTGAAGTACTTTTTAAAATCATACATTTTATTTGAAAAGTCTAGCATTATCATTCCAAGTTTTCATGATACCTTCATAAAGTTATCTCAACTTCTTGCCCACTGATCCCAACCATCAGTTAACCAAGGCTCTGATGTCCTTTATCCAGTGGGCTTCTCTCCTGTCAACCTCGGTTTCCACCGATGTAGCTAATCAGTTCACAGACATTAATACTTTTTTTTTTAGTTTACCTGAAAAAGCTCCTCAAATAAGTCATCATCGGGGCCTCTTTGAATTAAAGGTAGATTATCTCCAGCAAGGACAACTCTTGTAGGTCCTGAACCTCCTGCATTCTGTACATGACTCAGATTACTAGTTAATTGAAGGATTTCTGCTGCAGTAGATGGTCCAAGAAGTCTTTAGAAAAGTAAAATAAAGATAATAACAAGTCTACTTCCCATATTTAGATAAAAGTATTATTAGTTAATATAATATTGCAAAAATGTCAATGGAAATTGGGGCCCCAACACGAAAGGGCCGTTTCTGTTAAGATTGAAATTTGGGACCCGCAATAGGATAAGAACCACTCTAAATTTAAAAAATCATTTGATAAAAAACTTGAAAGAGCAATAGCTGTATCACTTGACATTGAGATCAGTGCCCAGACCATTTTAGTTAAGATTGAAATTGGACCATGTCACAAAACAGTTATAATAATTTAAAATCATTTACCCAATGGGTTCAAAAATTTAAGCTATAGCTGATTTAGATTTTATTATTTTTCAAAGAATTTTAAGTATGACATTGGCATTAAGCACCTAATGGTGATGTTCTTTTTTTTTTCAAACACTGCAAGCATTTTAATCATGTATTATACGTTTCTTCCAGATCCATAATTCCACAGAGGAGCCTATGCAAAAAAACAAACGGAGCAAAAAACAAACCCACAAACAAACAAATATAGATTTTTAAGCACTTGTTGATTATTAATTACTGTATTTATTGGTGTATAACCCGCACTTTTTCTCCCTGAAAATAGGGGGAAAATGATGTGTGCCTGTTATACGCCGATATAATGTTTAGTTTTTTTCCCTGAAATTTCCTTCTTAAATTGAGGTGCGTGTTATACGCGGGGGCGTGTTGTACGCCAATGAATACGGTATATATTTTCATTTAAATAATTTCTTTATCTTTGTCTAATTGTCATCAGGAAAATGCTGTCATCAAAATGAATGCACTGAATGGTCATAAACCCAAATGGTCAGAATTACAAAAGAAACTATAGTTTAAATAAAAATTAAATGCAATAATCAGATACCTCTGTAAAATAACTGGTGTGTTGGGTTGTCGTGTTGTAGAGTTGAGGTTGACATGAACAGTAGGAAGGGTCCTCATCCTCTGCCTACTGCCACGATGTCCACGGGCAGAGTGAGCATCCCCTTGTCTCATCAGTAGAGGGTGAGTGCTTGTTATGTTGCTTGGTGCAGGTGGCATGCTTGGTACTAAAATTAAACAGATAATAATTGTAATCAAGTAGGAAGAAGTCTTAACCCCTGTTTAGAATGTTACACAGACATACATAGTTATTACTCTTAAAAGCAAATGCTAATGTTATAGCTTGAGTCTTGACCTAATTTAACTTTAGTGTAGCGTTGTTGCGACCACCACGTCTCCCTTTTTTTTTGTTTTAATATTGACGTCACCCATTAATGTGTAGCGCTATACCACGCCAATCCCTTCCTTGATTGGGAAAAAGTTGTTTACGTTATATTGGTACTAAAGAATTCAATCTGGTGATGCTATTTCTAGTATTCCTTTTCTGGAGGATTTCATCTTGATACCAATAAATAAGCCAGCAGCTTTCCCTGCCAGGAGAGATTTTTGCTAATTTTCCAAGACATTTACAAGACATAAAATAGGAGCCTTCCAAGATTGTTCTCTTTGTGTGAATGTGTTTATTTTTTATGAATAAATTTTTTTACATCTTTGCCACAATCCTGAAAAAAAAATTGAGTTTGTTATATGTATGTATTAACTTTCTTTGTGTGCGTGAGATTTGAAAGTTCCGACTTAGTTATTTAGAAGATTGCGGTTGTCAAAACTACACTTTTGAGTCATCTAAAATTTAACGCCTTTTCCGAGATTTTAAAAATGCATAACTTTCTAAAATTGGAGATAGAGAATTAAAATTGGTTTTGTTTTGATTAAGCCACAGCTCTATTTAATTTCATTATGAAATTTTCATTCAGAATACCTAGTAGTATCACTAGCTTTGGCATAATTTTTCTTTGTATACTGGTTCTCAGTCCTTAGTTGCGTCCATTTTTTTAAAAATTTTCCCATACTTTTCGCTCAGTTCCTTTTCACATATTGTTCAAAACATGAGACACATCTTAAAACTGAATAAATTTGCATAACCATATAACTACATAATAGCTAACTTGAAATGTATTGTTGTAATGTCTCAACTGATATTTAGTGCATTCTTTAAAACTACAATTAAGTGCCTTAAATCTTTTTTTAAATTGGACAAAAAATATTTTAAAACTGTTTATAAGTAATTGATTTTCTGACAATAAACTCAGAGCCATTTATAAATGAAAAACATAAAATACCCACATGAATCAGCTCCTGTGTCACTTTCATGTAGGTGAACAGGTAGTTGATAAGTTTGTATCTGGCTGGTGTCATTGAAAATGATGTGTTGACCACCACCTGCAACAAACCCATTTTTTTTTTTCAATTATTATACGCTAAAACTTCAGTGCTTACATTCAAATGAATGAATTAGGGAATCTTAATTTGTAAAACTGACATGAGAAATTCAGTTTGGTGCTTCTTATATCACATAAACTTTTCTCACCTCCAGAGGGAAAATCTTCCATGTGGAAAACTAAATCATCAGTATCAAAAGGGTTTCTCATCTCTTGATAGTCATCATTTTCCCCATCAATATCAGATGCCTATTAAATAAAGTATTTTGAATATGAAAAAGCCAGAAGAAGAAAAGATATGCATCAATTACGCTAATTACAGTGGTTACATTATAAACTTTTTAAAATAAATTAACCATCTGAAACAATTATCACTGGTACTAAGTCAATAATACAAGTTACCTGAATATCTTATACATGCAAGGATTCTTTTATTAAGTGGTGTAATAATATAAAGATTGTTATGCAAGCACAAAAACTTTTTATTTCATAAACCAGTTAACCAGTGTTTTATTTTTTTTAATGTTTAATCTGGTATTAAAAACTAAAAACTTACATCATCATCATCCTCATCTTCATCCTCTTCATCATCTTCTTCATCCTCTTCTCCTATCTCCTCTTGATCTGCCTCATCATAGTCTTCTTCATCACCAGATACATCATCCTGGTTGTCATCACGATCTAATGATTTTGATACATTTTTTACAATTCCGTTTTAAAGGGGGATATTTTTTTTTTTTTGATGTTACGTTATACAAACAAATATGTCAAGTAGATTAATAAGTTCAAGCTTTTTTTTAAATTTACTTTTTAAAAATGTCATTGGTAAGCAACAATAAAAAAAAAATTGAAGTATCAGTATTCAAATATTATAATTGACAGGATAAATCATTTTCCCCCTTTAACACAATTGAATTGAAAAAAAAAGTAAGTACTACTTTTCACTACTTATAATATGCACAAGCATAAGATTCTCAGACACTGATTTAGTATGCCTATGGTAGTGTTGGCTTAAATCATTTGATTTCTCAAAGATACTATATTGGTTTATTTAAACATTGTCAGAAATGTATAAATGTGTATGTCACTTGCCTCTGTGATCTCTAACATCATTCTCATCATCTTCATCAGAGAGCACTTGGCTGACCATTTGAGAATCATGTGCCTCATAATCATCATCATCTCCTTCAACCTCAACATCAATTAATATTTCATTATCTTCATCACCACCAGTTGGTTCTAAAAGAACAAGTAAATTAGCACAAATTAAAAAAATATTGATTCTGTGAAAAAAATTATTTTTTAAATGTAATTTGAGGACTGTAGTTTATCTCAGATAATAAAATCAGTACAATGAATCAGTTATATGCTTGTCTATGATAATATTTACTGTGATTTTTTTTTTTTAACTCCATTTTTTTTGTTAAAACAAAACAACTAATTGCATGCCCAATTTGCAGAGAACATAGCACAGAGTATCAAAGTATCTATTTCTTTGTTGTTCTAAAAATATACATTGAAAAAGTAATTTGTTAAGATTGTTTCAGATTGAGGAAATCAGCACAATGAATCAGTTTGACATTGTTTCTCTCAGATTAAAGGAATAAGCACAATCAATTAGTTATTTTTCTATGATAATAATTGCTGAGAAATGTGTAAAGCTACATTAAATAGTAAATATATCAATATATGGTTTAGTTATATTCTAATTTGTTGGCATTGTTTCTCTCAGTTGAAGGAAATCAGCACAATAAATCAATTATGTGCTGGTCTATGATAATCATTGCTGAGAAAATTTGTCCAGCTAAATTAAATGTGCACATATAACTAAGGGTTGTAAATATTAAATATATCAAATTCAAGATTTTATGCTATGTTATAAAATGTAATTTGCTGGCATTGTTTCTCTCAGTTTAAAAAAATCAGCACAATGAATCAGTTATATGATTGTCAATGATAATCAACGCTGAGAAAAATATGTCCAGCTAAAAGAAATGAAAACAAATACATTTAGGGGTTTTAAATAGTACATATATCTATATATGGTTTAGTTATGTAATAATTTGTTGGCATTGTTTCTCTCACATTAAAGAAATCAGCAAAATGATCTGTTATATGCTTGTATATGATATTTATCGGTAAGAAAATATGTCCAGCTTAATTAAATGTGCACATATAAATGTTTGGGTTTTAAATAGTAAATACATCAATTTAATGATTTTATGTTATGTTATAAATGAAATTTGTTGGCATTGATTCTCTCTGAATAAAGAAATCAGCACAATGAATCAGTCTTTTGCTTGCCTGTGATAATCAGCGCAGAGAAAATTTGTCCAGCTAAATTAAATGTACACAAATACTTAAATGTACACAAATACATTTAACGGTTTTAAACAGTAAATATATCAATATATAATTAAGTTACGTTACAAAATTTAATTTGTTGACATTATTTCTCTCAGTTTAAAGAAATCAGCACAATGAATCAGTTATACGTTGGTCTATGATATTTATCGCTAAGAAAATACGTCCAGCTAAATTAAATGTGCACATATAATAAATCTTTGAGTTTTAAATAGAAAATACATCAAATTAATGATTTTATGTTATGTTGTAAAATTTAATTGGTTGGCTTTGTTTCTCTCAGATTTAAGAAATCAGCATAATAAATCAGTTATATGCTTGTCTATGATAATCATCACTGAGAACATTTGTCCCGCTAAATTAACTCTGCACATATAAATCTAAGTGTTTTAAATAGTAAAAATATTAATGTAATGGTTTGGTTATATTATGAAATGTAATATGCTGGCATTGTTTCTCTCAGTTTAAAGAAATCAGCACAATGAATCAGTTATATGCTTGTCTAAGATAATCATCGCTGAGAAAATATATCCAGGTTAATTAAATGAACAAAAATACATTTAGGGATTTTAAATAGTAAATAAAACAATATATTGTTTAGTTATGTTCTAATTTGTTGGCATTGTTTCTCTCAGTTTAAAGAAATCTGCACAATGAAATCAGTTATACGCTTGTCTATGATAATCATTGCTGAGAAATTAATCCAGCTTAAGAAATTGCATTAATTTAAATCTAAGTGTTTTAAATAGTAAAATATTAATGTAATGGTTTGTGTTATATTATAAAATGTAATATACTGGCATTGTTTCTCTCAGTTTAAAGAAATCAGCACAATAAATCAGTTATATGCTTGTCTATGATAATCATCGCTGAGAAAATATGTCCAGGTTAATTAAATGAACAAAAATACATTTAGAGATTTTAAACAGTAAATAAAACAATATATAGTTTAGTTATGTTCTAATTTGTTGGCTTTGTTTCTCTCAGTTTAAATAAATCTGCACAATAAATCAGTTATACACTTGTCTATGATAATCATCGCTGAGAAATTAATCCAGCTTAAGAAATTGCATTAATTTAAATCTAAGTGTTTTAAATAGTAAAATATTAATGTAATGGCTTGTGTTATATTATAAAATGTTATATGCTGGCATTGTTTCTCTCAGTTTAAAGAAATCAGCACAATGAATCAGTTATATGCTTGTCTAAGATAATCATCGCTGAGAAAATATGTCCAGGTTAATTAAATGAACAAAAATACATTTAGGGATTTTAAATAGTAAATAAAACAATATATTGTTTAGTTATGTTCTAATTTGTTGGCATTGTTTCTCTCAGTTTAAAGAAATCTGCACAATGAAATCAGTTATACGCTTGTCTATGATAATCATCGCTGAGAAATTAATCCAGCTTAAGAAATTGCATTAATTTAAATCTAAGTGTTTTAAATAGTAAAATATTAATGTAATGGTTTGTGTTATATTATAAAATGTAATATGCTGGCATTGTTTCTCTCAGTTTAAAGAAATCAGCACAATAAATCAGTTATATGCTTGTCTATGATAATCATCGCTGAGAAAATATGTCCAGGTTAATTAAATGAACAAAAATACATTTAGAGATTTGAAACAGTAAATAAAACAATATATAGTTTAGTTATGTTCTAATTTGTTGGCTTTGTTTCTCTCAGTTTAAATAAATCTGCACAATGAATCAGTTATACACTTGTCTATGATAATCATCGCTGAGAAATTAATCCAGCTTAAGAAATAGCACCGATTTAAATGTAAGTATTTTAAATAGTAAAATATTAAAGTAATGGTTTGTGTTATATTATAAAATAAAATTTGTTGGCATTGTTTCTCTCAGATTAAAGAAATCAGCACAATAAATCAGTTATATGCTTGTCTAAGAAAATCATCGCTGAGAAAATATGTCCAGGTAAATTAAATGAACAAAACTACATTTCAGGGTTTTAAATAGTAAATACATCAATATATGGTTTAGTTATGTTCTAATTTGTTGGCATTGTTTCTCTCAGTTTAAAGAAATCAGCACAATGAATCAGTTATACGTTGGTCTTTGATAATTATCACTAAGAAAATGTTTCCAGCTAAATTAAATGTGCACATATAATAAATCTTTGAGTTTTAAATAGTAAATACATCAATTTAAAGATTTTATGTTATGTTGTAAAATTTAATTGGTTGGCTTGGTTTCTCTCAGATTTAAGAAATCAGCATAATGAATCAGTTATATGCTTGTCTATGATCATCATCATTGAGAACATTTGTCCCGCTAAATTAACTCTGCACATATAATAAATCCAAGTGTTTTAAATAGTAAAAATATTAATGTAATGGCTTAGTTATACTATAAAATGTAATATGCTGGCATTGTTTCTCTCAGTTTAAAGAAATCAGCACAATAAATCAGTTATATGCTTGTCTATGATAATTGTCGCTGAGAAAATATATCCAGGTTAATTAAATGAACAAAAATACATTTAGGGATTTTAAATAGTAAATAAAACAATACATAGTTTAGTTATGTTCTAATTTGTTGGCTTTGCTTCTCTCAGTTTAAATAAATCTGCACAATGAATCAGTTATACACTTGTCTATGATAATCATCGCTGAGAAATTAATCCAGCTTAAGAAATTGCATCAATTTAAATCTAAGTGTTTTAAATAGTAAAATATTAATGTAATGGCTTGTGTTATATTATAAAATGTAATATGCTGGCATTGTTTCTCTCAGTTTAAAGAAATCAGCACAATGAATCAGTTATACGTTGGTCTTTGATAATTATCACTAAGAAAATATTTCCAGCTAAATTAAATGTGCACATATAATAAATCTTTGAGTTTTAAATAGTAAATACATCAATTTAAAGATTTTATGTTATGTTGTAAAATTTAATTGGTTGGCTTGGTTTCTCTCAGATTTAAGAAATCAGCATAATGAATCAGTTATATGCTTGTCTATGATCATCATCATTGAGAACATTTGTCCCGCTAAATTAACTCTGCACATATAATAAATCCAAGTGTTTTAAATAGTAAAAATATTAATGTAATGGCTTAGTTATACTATAAAATGTAATATGCTGGCATTGTTTCTCTCAGTTTAAAGAAATCAGCACAATAAATCAGTTATATGCTTGTCTATGATAATTGTCGCTGAGAAAATATATCCAGGTTAATTAAATGAACAAAAATACATTTAGGGATTTTAAATAGTAAATAAAACAATACATAGTTTAGTTATGTTCTAATTTGTTGGCTTTGCTTCTCTCAGTTTAAATAAATCTGCACAATGAATCAGTTATACACTTGTCTATGATAATCATCGCTGAGAAATTAATCCAGCTTAAGAAATTGCATCAATTTAAATCTAAGTGTTTTAAATAGTAAAATATTAATGTAATGGCTTGTGTTATATTATAAAATGTAATATGCTGGCATTGTTTCTCTCAGTTTAAAGAAATCAGCACAATGAATCAGTTATACGTTGGTCTTTGATAATTATCACTAAGAAAATATTTCCAGCTAAATTAAATGTGCACATATAAAAAAATCTTTGAGTTTTAAATAGTAAATACATCAATTTAAAGATTTTATATTATGTTGTAAAATTTAATTGGTTGGCTTGGTTTCTCTCAGATTTAAGAAATCAGCAAAATGAATCAGTTATATGCTTGTCTATGATCATCATCAATGAGAACATTTGTCCCGCTAAATTAATTCTGCACATATAATAAATCCAAGTGTTTTAAATAGTAAAAATATTAATGTAATGGTTTAGTTATACTATAAAATGTAATATGCTGGCATTGTTTCTCTCAGTTTAAAGAAATCAGCACAATAAATCAGTTATATGCTTGTCTATGATAATCATCACTGAGAAAATATGTCCAGGTTAATTAAATGAACAAAAATACATTTAGGGATTTTAAATAGTAAATAAAACAATATATTGTTTAGTTATGTTCTAATTTGTTGGCTTTGTTTCTCTCAGTTTAAATAAATCTGCACAATGAATCAGTTATACACTTGTCTATGATAATCATCGCTGAGAAATTAATTCAGCTTAAGAAATAGCACCGATTTAAATCTAAGTGTTTTAAATAGTAAAATATTAATGTAATTGTTTTTGTTATATTATAAAATCAAATTTGCTGGCATTGTTTCTCTCAGATTAAAGAAATCAGCACAATAAATCAGTTATATGCTTGTCTAAGATAATCATCGCTGAAAAAATATGTCCAGGTAAATTAAATGAACAAAAATACATTTCGAGGTTTTAAATAGTAAATACATCAATATATGGTTTAGTTATGTTCTAATTTGTTGGCATTGTTTCTCTCAGTTTAAAGAAATCAGCAAAATGAATCAGTTATATGCTTGTCTCTGACAATCATCGCAGAGAAAATTTGTCCAGCTAATTTTAATGTGCACTTGTAACTAAGGGTTGTAAATATTAAATATATCAAATTCAAGATTTTATGCTATGTTATAAAATGTAATTAGTTGGCATTGTTTCTCTCAGTTTAAAGAAATCAGCACAATGAATCAGTTATATGCTTGTCTATGATAATCATCTCTGAGAACATTTGATCCGCTAAATTAAATCTGCACATATAAATAAATCTATGTGGTTTAAATAGTAAAATAATAACGTACTGGCTTGTGTTATATTATTGCTGGCATTGTTTCTCTCAGTTTAAAGAAATCAGCAGCACAATGAATCAGTTATATGCTTGTCTATGTTAATCATCGCAGAGAAATATGTCCAGGTTAATTAAATGAACAAAAATACATTTAGGGGTTTTAAATAGTAAATATATCAATATATTGTTTGGTTATGTTCTAATTTGTTTGCATTGTTTCTCTCAGTTTATATATATCTGCACAATGAATCAGTCATTTGCTTGTCTATGATAATCATCGCTGAGAAAATTTGTCCAGCTAAATTAAATGTACACAAATACTTAAATGTACACAAATACATTTATGGATTTTAAAAAGTAAATAGTTAAGTTACGTTATAAAATTTAATTTGTTGAAATTATTTCTCTTAGAGTAAAGAAATCAGCATATTGATCAGTCATATAGCTTGTCTATGATAATCATCGCTGAGAAACTTTGTCCCACAGAATTAAATGTGCACATATAAATCTATGTGTTTTAAATAGTAAATTTAAAGATTTTATGTTATGTTGTAAAATTTAAATGGTTGGCTTTGTTTCTCTCAGATTTAAGAAATAAGCACAATGAATCAGTTAATATGCTTGTCTACGATAATCCTCGCTGAGAACATCTGTCCCCCTAAATTAAATCTGCACATATAAATCTAAGTGTTTTAAATAGTAAAAAATATTAATGTAACGGTTTAGTTATATTATGAAATGTAATATGCTGCATTGTTTCTCTCAGTTTAAAGAAATCAGCACAATGAAACAGTTATATGCTTGTCTATGATAATCATCGCTGAGAAAATATGTCAAGCTAAATTAAATGTACCGGGTACACATATACATTTAGGGGTTTTAAATAGTAAATATATCAATATATTGTTTGGTTATGTTCTAATTTGTTGGCATTGTTTCTCTCAGTTCAAAGAAATCAGCACAATGAATCAGTTATATGCTTGTCTCTGATAATCATAGCAGAGAAAATTTGTCCAGCTAATTTAAATGTGAACATATAACTACGGTTTGTAAATATTAAATTAATAAAATTCAAGATTTTATCCTGTCTTATAAAATGTAATTTGCTGCCATTGTTGCTCTTAGATTGAGGAAATCAGCACATTGAATCAGTTATATTCTTGTCTATGACAATCATCACTGAGAAAATATGTCCAGCTAAATTATATGTACACAAATTCATTTAGAGGTTTTAATTAGTAAATATTTCAATATGTGGTTTTGTTTTTTTATAAAATGTAATTTGTCGGCATTGTCTCTATCAGATAAAAAAAATATCACAATGAATCAGTTATATGCTTGTCTATGATAATCATCGCTGAGAACATTTGACCCGCTAAATTAAATCTGCACATATCAATCTATGGGTATTATTAAATAGTAAATATATCAATTTCAGGGTGGATGGGACGCGTCAACCTTGGATGGCAACTCATCTAAGAGAAGGAAACTCTGAAATCAAACCCGGAGATGGAGCCCAGTAGACGAATAATATTGGTACAATTAAACATTCAGACAACTCCTGGAATGCCACTGGCGCCAAGCTGTATCATCCACATGTTTCCTTGGACTTATCCAGCGGTGTGGAGAGAGGCTATTTGCTGATGGGAACCAACTTATAATCCTAGAAGAATAATCCCAGGCTTTGTGGAATTCGTCCTGCAAAGTCCACACCATCGTCACATTGTGACGGACGTATGCCAGCAAAAAAATAATAAAATCAATTTAAAGATTTTATGTTATGTTATAAAATATAATTTGTTGGCATTGTTTCTCTCAGCTTAAAGAAATCAGCACAATGAATCAGTTATATGCTTGGCTGTGATTATCATCGCTGAGAAAATTTTTCCAGCTAAATTAAATGTGCACATATAAATAAATCGATAGGTTTTAAATATATCAATTTTTTAAAGATTTTATGTTATGTTATAAAATGTAATTTGTTGGCAATTTTTCTTTCAGATCAAAGAAATTAGCACAATGAATCAGTTTTATGCTTGTTTGTGATAATCTTCGCTGAGAATACTTGCACAGCAGATTAAAAATTATTTTTAAGATTACAAGATTCTTGCATAATTTTTAAATTTACAGACAATTGGGAGTTCATAAATAGTTTAAATTCGAGTAATAAAATCTATGAAACGAATATCAATGAAATAAATTATTGAAAATTCCATTAGATTAATTCTTAATGTATACAATTTTTAAAAATGTGAGAATCCAATCACAATGACATATTTGTTAATAACTTTTTTGGTATTTTGTCCAAAAGCATAATTTTTGTACTTATTTTATCGGCATTGTGCCCTTCTGTTATTTGTTTTTTTTATTTTTCTATTGGAAGTCTAGCTAAATGGAGATCGTATGAATAATCAGCAAAGAAACGGATCGGTTATATACTTGTCTATACACTGATCATCATCATCATGGTCCATGTGATATTAAGCCCTTTTTAATGCATTCAGCAATGAAAACAGTGCATGTTTCAAGCCATAGGAAAAAACAGTGGTTAATCAAATGTAATAATATTTTGGGGTGCTTTAACATTTTCATTATGTCAACAACAAAAAAAGATTTGATTTATTAAATATAAATTGAAAAATTACTAAATATTTTTTTAACATTTATGATAAATTTCTCAGATTTTTTTTTAAATTGCTAGTTTGAAATATTTCTAGTATTTTAAACATAAATCTATTTATTTTAATGTATAGTATTAAATTTAGAAGGTAAACATGAAATAACTTGATTTGCCATTGTTTGTATTAAAAGTAATTTTTCAAACAGCTATAAAATATCTATTTTTTGGTACTAAAATAATGTTACTACTTTTCAATTGCATAAGCTTTGTATAAAAATCAATTTTCCATAAAGAGTGTTTCTCTCAGATTATAAGATAATCACTGTATTTCAGTTATATGCTTGTCTTTAATTTTAATCATCCCAGAGAAACACTGATAACTATGTACTTTAACCTCAAAATTTAAAATTCAATCCTCCACAAATGGCAAGGGAACACCATTACCACTAAATTAGCAAAGAAAATACAATAAATAGCTATTAGCTTGTGTTTAGTGCCAGATTTGGTTATGTTATGAATTTTTTACTTTGTCATGAATATATGAACCCACTATTATTAAACAAATTAAAAGACTCATCTTATGGGGTAATTTCCAAGGCTCAATTTTAAAAAACTATGCCCACATATCAAATTTAATTTTATGCACTTACCATGCATGTAGATTTATCACCTTTCTAAATTCCTTAAACCAATTAAGCTTACCATATGATATACAGTACCTTTAAAATACAACACACAAATTTGGAAAACATGACTAAATTAAAAGTTTTAAATTGAGATAAACTTACCATTTGAAATAGTCATTTCAGATATAACCTGGTCCTCTGGATCTCCACCTGTGCCGGTCTGAAAAATTTGTTGCAATACATTGTCCAGCTCTTCCTCCTAGAATTACAAAGATATATGTCATTCACAACAATCTTTAAAATGTCAAGAAAGCATACTAAAAGAAATTATTTACTAATTCATAAATAAAAAATACCTTATATTTTAAAAAGGACCAACTTTCTAGAACACAATGAACAGCAAGATGAAAATAAAATTTATTTCTATAAAATTAGATAAAATTGAAAAAAGAAATGCCATACCTATTATAATAACTATTATATTAAATCTAAGGTACATTTTCAATGAGAAAATAATGACTACTGAGCTAAAGAACATTTCACTAGCTTTCTTACTTGGCCTACAACTTGAGGTTCAGCTATCTGATGTTCACTAGCAGTTTCTAAATCTATCTGGGCATCTGGGTTGTTGGTCACATCTTCAATTGTAACATTCATCTCATTTGCAACAGAGGCTGCAGGCAAAGACTCACCCTGGGACTCCTCAACTTGAAACACAAAAATAACTACATTTGAAAAATCATAAAATATATTTTTTCCAATTAAAAGAGATTACCCTCCACCCCATTTCTGTAGCAGACTCACCGCTTGCTGACATTTCTCTCCATCTTTGCTTGTAAATAAATGAATTAATCATGTTTAACTTTTGAATTAAATATTTTTTAAAACTAAACTGCATAAATATGATCAATTATACATTTTTATACCAAATATTTATATTAAAAATTAAGCAAATTATTTTAAACTTTTCTTTTTTTCAAAATATAATCTTCTGGGCTCATACAGTATCATATTTTATTTATTGGTATAAAATAAACTAGCATTTACTTCAGAGTATGAATTATAAAAACTATTTGAAGAATATTTTGAGACAATGCAAATATTTTCCTTAGTGAGGTGGGATGTGTTTAAGTAGACAATATACAGCTTGTGCAGAAGAAGTCCATTGAAGTCCATTATCAATAAAATACTGATTATTATTAGTAATAACATGTTTTTAACAAACCTTTGCAAAGTAAGTAATGAATTACATTAGAAAGTTTCAAGCTCTACTTATCTTGAAATCACATGTACTTGGATACCATGCCAATTTTCTGAGGTGCTAAAAACACAAAACATAAAATAATCACCATTGGGAAGTGATGGCTCTGTAACCACTTGAGTTGTGGTTCCTCCCTGGTCTGGAGCAGTGGTATTGTGATCTCCACTTGCTTTTTTCATGGACACAAATTTGTCTGGAGAGTTCACTGACCGGGACAGTGTCTCTAGAGGTTTCAGGGCAGCATTGATGGTTGGTGCTAAGAATGGTGAGGATAGGTCTAAACTGTGAGGGATGCGAGCAAGATCAACCAGCACCCCTTTCTTCACCAGTATTTTCATCATGTTGTTATTCAACACCTGTTGTCCTATTAAAAAATTAATAATACAAAGTTCTAATAATATCATTTGCAAAATATAAATGCTAATAAATCTAAAATGTTTTTTTCTGCTGTTCTTTGAGTTGAATATTTAAATAAAACTGGTATTACAATTGTATAACCAATTGGTTTAGTTAATGGGATGTATTTGTATACTAAATTTGTAAGTAGGTATTCCGGTCCATGTGAATTCAAAAATGGAGTGCATATGTGTGGTTGTATTAATTTAAACTATTTTGGCAAGAATGAAATTTCATTCCAAATAACCTATAATTTAGGTGTGCCCTTAGTGTATTTCACACTGTGAAATGCTGCCTACCCTTAAAAACTTGATTTGGCACTTGCCCAGGTGTAGGGCAGGAATCAATCATAGTGTTAATAATACTAGCTAAAGCCTGGATTCTCTGATGCTTTGAGGATCCCTCTGGAAGTGCTAAGGCCCGCTGCAGGGCTCCTTTCACCTCAGTCACTAAAGCCATTTGAGCATCAGGACTGTGACTACATGACGCTATGCTTGCAATAAACACTCTAGACAAAGCTGGGCAGTCATTGTCCCCAACATCTTGGGAGCTGGGTAAAAGACTGTCAAGCACAAAAGCAAGGACAGAGCAGCCCTGGAATAAAACGTTCATGAAACAATGACTAATATTATAAGATATTATACTTAACTGACAGTAAAGAAGTAATTTTAAAATTTAGTGATATTGATATTGTCTAAATCAAACTAGAAGATATAAACCAGTGTGTAATGGAAGGCCTTTGCACTACTTTCTACTTGCCAAGTCTCAACATCTAACAATGCAATTTTTACATATGTAATGGTAGCTGAATCAGGTTTTGATTTGAAAATTACAATTTTCCACATCCTTTAAATTTGTAATTAGGAAATAGTAAATCAAACTTTCCTCCTTAAGAAGAAAAAATGTAATCTTCTAAATAATAAAGGCCTATCCAACCCTTTTTCCTGCCCCTGAACTGCAAAATTACTATAGACTTTCCAAAAGTTGTAAAAACAGTAGCTACTGAACACATACACCTTGTTTTGTGCTGTTATCAGGAGTTTTATTTTGTTGCATATTGAACTCAGCTTTATATGGTGACATTAGCTTAATTAACCAAATGACTTACATCTGGAACAAGCTCGGTCTGCCCTGGGAGGTAATTGTATTGAGTGATTAGTTGTACGCAGTTCCCATAGGATCTAATAATTTCAGACAAAAGTCTCAGAATTGCTGATTTGGGGATCAAGGCTGAAAGAGTGGGACAATTGTTGCCTTCTACTCCTGTTGGAGATGATTCTTTTTCCTGCATAAAAATAACATTTTAAGTTGATGAGAAAGGCATTAAATTTCTTCAATTTTATTTAGTTAAAAATGCCTGGGAAAATGGGAGTGTACATTGGTAAAGGCATTGATTCAAATTACATTCTTTCCTGTAATAGATTAACTAGATTAAACTAGAAAGCAGCTGTCAGTCGTTTATACATTTTTTTTTGACAGTTAAAAGAATTCTATATTTTTGTAGTTTGTAAATCAACCAAAATTTATAATTTTTGTACTAAACATGCCCATGTGCCACTTGATTCACTAAATTTAAACTTAATTAGAATTTTACACATATAAAAGTTTATGTTTCAAAATTCACTTATGTTTTTATTTGTAACAAATTTGAAATAGATTTTGTTAAAATATGTTGCTAGACATAACTAAAGCCAGTTCTCTAGAAAAAACTAAATTTTATCATTCATATTAATTTTTTAAACATTTAAAATGGGGATAGAAATTGTACCCTCGGAAAGTTGAGAAAGTTTTTTTGTTTTTTTAATTTTTTTTCACTATATATTTCTAAAATGTTCATTAAACTGTCCCAGTCATAGCTAGAATATATGATATATAGAAATAGTTTTTTTTATTATTGATTCCAGAAACTAGATTGGAATGAAGCTTGCTAACCAGTAGCAGTAAGACAGTAAGAACCATTTCATGAGTAATATATTAGCAAACCTACCCCAGATGCCTGTTCAGTATCTCCAGATGTCTGTGAGTTAGCTCCTGTTCCACACCGTATCACATAGGAGAAGTGAGCACTATTTCCTGAATAGCCCTCTGAAACTGCCTCCTGTATAGCCTCTGATAATGTCAACAATCCTTTAGTTAGTGAAGAGGTACCTAGCCAAATTTAAGTTGCAGTTAATATAACAACAGAGGAAAATTGTAAGAAACCAATAAAAAATGGAATATTTAGGAACAAAATTATAATTTTTTTAAGCAAAATTAATGATGAATAAAAATATATTACGAATGTCCTTTCACATATTAATACTAATATTCATTCAAATGAAATGGTTTACTACAAATATTTTACCATAAAAACTTACTGTCTTTGGCAGTTTTTTTAGGTTGCTCTGCAATGAGGGCATTCAATAGGTCCCAAATAAATGTTTTGATAGAAGGGTTGACTAGAGACTCCAGCTGTTTAGTGGGGGTGCATTTAAGGATCTGGGGAGCATTTGGGCCACAATAACGACTTTCATCTTCATCTAAAATTGGATGATAAGAAGTAAGAATAACCTAATATTGCTTTTTACAAATAGGTGTGTGGTACAGGGTGTATAATTTTAAGACAATTTCTTTAGCAAATGTCAAGGATATTAAATTCAAAAGTAAATATAGAATCATATTTTAAAAGTCTCTGTCCCATTGATTTACAATTAAAATTGTGGTCTGGTAACTTCATTAGGGCTAGTGAACATTTGAAAGAGTCTAAGAAAAAATTATGCATCTTGTGTTTTTTCAGTTAATGTTTGAGTTTTGTTTCCAAAAGTTTAATTTAAAATTGCCTGGAGAAAATAATTTGAGGCATACATTTAAAGATTCCACCCATAAGGAAGGTAACTATATTTAGGATTAATTATTTTAACTCTGGCTTGTTCTAACAATATCTAATAAAGTTTTTCATCATTTAAAATAAATACTCTTAAATTTAAATTCACACCTCTAATAGAAGCAGGCGGAAGGGCTATCTGTAAAGTGTCTCTTGCCACCTGAGCAAACATTTCAGGATCACGGCAGGCGGCTGGTCCCAAGACTCTAAGAACATAATGCATTTCTTTGGCACCCACAACACCTTGACTGACACCTGACTGACAAGAGCCTATTCCAGCACACACATTCCGCATGACCTTTAGAATAATAAACAATTTAAGTTATAAACAATTTGTGCAATTCACAATACATTGGCTTGAAATACCAAAAGTTCTTAACTATGATAATATCTATGTTAATATTGAGAGCAGTATGAATTGTTAGCTAGCCCCCATGGTTTTGGAAAACATTTATTCTTCATTTTTAAAAATTAAAATAAATAGGAACACTATTGGGATAGTGTATACAAGCCTATCAAGGTGCAACTTAAGTATTTCCTTTTTTATTACTTTCATTCACAGGCTATTAATATTTAAATTAAAACATTTTTTTTTTGGATATGACTGGGTACATTTTTGGTTAACACTTCCAAATGTCATAAAGATAACAGTGGTCTTTATGCTATTTCATACATAAAATCATTTTTTTTTTAAAGAAACTGCATAAAATAAGTAACTTGATTAACTCTCTGCAGTCCGACTATAGAGAAATGGTACATATAAGTACCATAGAATTTGTGGGTGGGTTATTTATTTTTTAACTTTTTTTTTTATTGAAAAAAATTATTTATTATATTTTAATAATTTGTTTCATTGGTTTAAGTATTTGTAAAAAAATTAAAATTATTACAAAATTTGAAATTACTATTTTAAAAAAATATTTTTGGAAACTTATTCAGCGCGGAGTATACCTTGAAAGCTTCGCAGATTTCCAAAAAAACAAAAAATATAAGTCTCACAAAAAAAATTAAATAGTAGTATGAATATTGTCAAATGATTTTAATTTCCCGATTTATCAAGGAGTTATTTGTTTGTCTAAAGCAATGTATCCAAATGGAGACTCTAATCATGAAATTTATCACGATTTGCATATAAAAGTACCGACTAATGCTATCGTAAACAAGTAAGCTTAATTTTAATTATCATTTCCCGACTTTAAAATTAATAATAAAACAATAAAGTGATATTTTTATAATTTTAATTGGCTGAAGTATATATTATCCATTTATACTTACATTGATATATTCTATTTGAATTATATTGAGTTTCAATAATTATATAATAAATAAATAGCGTCGCTATGCGAAATAAATATTTTAAAAAAATAGCGGAAAATTTCGGTCGATTGGAACTTGCGTAATTAAATAAATTTAAAGTTAAGGACTTCTGAGTTATTAACTAAATATATTTCTTTAAAATATGTTACAGCCAAGAATAATCTTCTAAATTTTCTAATATTGCATAGTAGAAATCTGTTTAAATTTAATTATCATTATCGCTAGTCACTAGTATTAGTAGAGACTACTGTCGGCAGAATAAAAAAAGAAACATTTATGTTTTTATTAAAAGCTCTCTAACTCTATTGGGAAGGAGGAGAGAGAGACAAAAATGCAGATATTGGATCAAGAAGCCCTTATTCCTTATTGATCCTAAATATTAAGCCTGGACTCCACCCTTTTACTGAGTTACAGAGTTACTGGATGAATATCTTTGAAGATTTTACCCTAAAAACAAGTGGTGGTAAGTTTTAATCTAATCACTTGGTAGCAAAATGCATAAAGAATAAACTCAAAATATTGTTATAACATATGTTATAATGTATTTTCTATGTACAATGGTTTACTTTTATACTAATTTAGGCATTTGGACTAGGATTAATGGTATTTTCCCTTACTGATAGCATGTCATTACTGATACCATTAGTGTTAATTTATTTATGAATCAATCATTTTTTTTTTCCACAGGTTCTTTATTGAGTGAATATTCTGTGGTGAAAAATCTTACCTAATCTTATGTAGAAATCAAGTCCAGAACAAGCTCTTATTTATCAAATATAATTACTATAATAAAACTGCAGACTGTTTTAAGAAATAATATTTGTTCAGAGTCCATAAATATAATTAAGGAATACTGTAGTTTATCAGCCTGTGTTATGTGAGGATTATAACAAAGATATATAAAAATGCTGGTACATGGGAAAAAATAAATCACATTAGTGAGGAATGGATCGTATTTGACATGTATATCAAAATTAGCAATATTGTACTGATACATTTTAATTTTTTTTAACTTTAACATCAGCGAATACCGCTATTTTAAAATTTAAAAAAAAAAAAAATTGACTCTTGTTTTGAGTTATTTATATATTCATCAAATTTTACTTAGTCATCTTTTACTCAAGAATTATTAAGAAATATATTTAATATACAAATCTATAAGCTATGAGACCCATTTTTTAAAATATATTACATACAAAACATAATTTTCATTAAAAGAAAAATTATAGTGCATTTTTTAGGAAAAAAAGACAAAATATAGGTTTTGCTAAAATGTTGACAACTTTTTGATTGTTCAAAGAATTTTTGTCATGTTTGACTATGAATTGTATAAGTTGATGAAGTATTTTATTTAAATAAATTTTAAATCTTTTATAACAAGGATTTTTTTTTCCCTTCATACTGTGTAAAGATTTGGTCAAATTTTTGCATAAAATGAAAAAAAATAATTCTCCAATAATGTTTCAATTATTTTTATAACTAAGAAAATAAAATATACAAAAAATATCTTATGATAGCTGAGTCAAAGATGAACAAGTTAATATATTTAACTGATCAGATCAGAGCTATTTCAGACCAGTTAATTAATTATTTTAAAAAATCACATTAAGATTTTTAAGAAATGTGAAAAAAACGTCCGACTGCAGAGAGTTAATCAACAAAAAATCAACTACATTTGTCTAAATGTTATAAATAATGTATTCACAGCTTCTGTAACATAATAAACAGTAATTACCTTAACAAATCATAGAAGATGATAATTGCATTTAATTTTTTTAATAACCTTTTTACTGAATAAAATGAATGTTAACACTAACCTTTTCCATGCAATATCGTAGGGATACAGGTTCTTCCAATATATGTCGAAAGATAAGGGTAGCTAAGCTCAAGAAACCTTGAAAATTAGATTCTGATGTTAGAGTAAGTAGTCTTTTAGCACCACCTTCAGCGACAAACTTAACAGCATATTGGTGTTGTCGAGTCATGCGTAAAATTAGTCGCATGGCAGCATGAAGAGTGTCTGGATTTAGATGAATACTGAGATAGGCACTGAGGCAGCTAATTGGACATAAAAAGAAAATTTTTAATAAGTTTATTTACTTGAAATGTAAATCTTATTAGATCAACACCTTTGCTCTGTTAAATTTTGATTTTTTTAAAGGTATATTTATTTTACTCTGATAAATTATTATTCCTATTAGAAGCATTAGTAACTATGCTTCATTAATTTGAATTCATGCAGAACCATTTTTAATGAAAGGTAAAAACAATTACCCAATAACAACTTCTATGTTCTCATGACTAAGCCCAGGTAGATAGTCCTCCATGTCATCAGGGACTTCAAATTCTTTCTTAATCTCTTCTGTGAAAATAATATTTTATAAAAATTATTCACACATTTATGTCAGTCTTTTACAACACAAATAAAGTGATTTACTTAGATTATTGGCGGTCATCATCTTTTAAAATGATTCACATATATGGAATGCAAAAAGGTTATGATTAGCTCTTAAAGACTCACCTATTGCTTGCTCATCTGAACTGCTTTCTTTGATTTCTTTTTTCCCTTGTGGTTTCTCTTCTGCAGTTGGTATAGACAGCATTACTGGGCGTCTGTTTCCCGTCTCTTCATTTAACTGGAAAAGAAGTTTTGAAAGATAAGCATCATTCAATCCTTTCAAAGAAATTTGAATTTGAGTGGTTTTAAATAATATGTTTACAAACTTTAAACATTAAAAAATTACACTCACTTGAATCATAGTTCCAAATTGAACATTATACTTTCTTCTGCCTGCTTGAAACCTTTGAAAATAGAATACATATACTGTTTGTTAATGACTGTATAAAATATGTATGCTTAAATCTTTTGAAGTTGAATTTAATAAAAACCTGACATGGGTTAAAAGAGGAGTGGTCAACCTTTTTGTGAAGAAGGCTGCATGAAAATTAATACACTTTATGTATATCATTGAATGATTGGCTTTTAAACTTACTGAAAATTCAGTTTCAAAAATAAGCAATGGAATAATTTTTTAAATTTCATGTTACCATGTTATTACATTATAAATATTTAAAGTAAAGGCTTTAACAGATAATCATAATTTGTACATGCTTGCAGGCCATATATATTTAAGTTTCAGTAGGCCCTATGTGTTTCGGTTATTAAACTTCAATGGTACCTAACAAAGTTTTCTCCTTTTCTGTAAGCCTCATCAATCGTTGCATTATTATTTGTGCTATATTTACACCAGCGTCCACTGCTGTCATCAAACCATTTCCAAGTTCTGTTTCCACCCTGAATATACCCACACAAAAAGAGACAAGAAGCATAATTAGACAGCTGAAAAAAAACATGTAAAGGATGCTAATGTGCTAACTTGAAACTTACACTCTATTTCTTTTACAAGAAAGGCATTGTCACTTACCACAGCTATTCTGGCTTGCATCTTCCTTTTAAGTGCAACAGATATCTTCTCCCATAAGTCCAAGAGTAATAACATGGGGGCCAACCATCTAAAAATAATTAATTAAATTATTAACAAGGATTGGTAAATAGTTCTCTTTTGTTTTTATTGCTGTGGTGGTTTTATTTCTTCTAATAAAGTTTGTTAAATTATAACATATGTAAACTTTACTTGTAACTAAAATTATGTATTTACATACTTTGGTGTAAGTTTAGAATCAGCAATTTGACTTGGACACAGCATGACATCTTTGCTTATTTGAAGGAGTTGTACAATACGCATTGGAAGATTAACACCTTGCATTGCTAAAGCACAGGCCAGGTTCATCTCCTGTGTGGAACCGTTGACAGCATACTTTAATTTTGGACAACATGACTTTGAATTCTTACTTAACTTTAAACCGAATCAGATATGCTGGCTTTAGAAAACATGACGTGAAAGATATTGTATGTGAAACCTGAAGTCAGTAAAATAGATTTTTAGATGGGACAGGTTTTCTATTGTTAAGCCAACATCTCTAACAGAAGGTCGTTGGTGAATTTTATGGTTGGTGATTTTAAAATTAAAATCTCTATTTTAAATTTACCTCTGCAAGTAAGCTGAGAAGATGTAGTCGCGTGGCAAACTTTTGGGCACTAGGAGAACTCTGCATAGCTGTAAAATTCATTTCTTGGGCATAGCTTGTCATTTCATCACACAGTGCACAGAGCTGAGAAATGATGAATTAAATGTTTTTGTTTTATGTGGAATAATGCTATGTTTTTAGAGTGTATTTAAATATTATAAGAATTAAATTCAACTTATACAGATGGGCAATAGAAATTAATTATTAACAGATGTACTAAAAGCTCTTCTTATGCACTACTTACGTCTTTGCAAAGTGTACCCAATGTTTCTCTCTTCCAACTAGCACCATTTCGTGCCATTACAACTATGAGAAGATCACAGACCCTATATACTGTTTCAGGTAATGTGTCTAACAAGTTAAGGCAACCTGTCATTTAGTAAAACAAATTATAAAGGTAAGGATGCCTTTTAGATAATCGATGATGCTGGGTGCCATCCATGGCTTGACATGTAAATAGTTCTTGAATGGATGGAGTGAATATACATTTGTTTTGTTTTATTTAATTAATGTATGTTAATTAATTTTTTAAGTTTATGATTATGTTTGTTGAAATATATGTACAGAGTGGTGAGCCACCAGGTTATATAAAACCAATAATAATAATAAAAGTAATAATTTTAAAAATTTATTGCTTAAAGTAGTAGTAGTAATAGTTTAAATTTAAAATAGGAAACGAGTGTGTTCTTTCCCCTTTAAATATAGTGGAGGAAATATTTTACCTATTTTGAATGATGAATATTATTATGCATTAAAGTGGGTTTAGCAGATGGGAGAAAATGACTAAATCTTAATTTACCAGGAAATATGATGCACTAAATAATCTAAATTTACCAGGGAATATGAGGAACTAAATTAATCTTACTTTACCAGGAAATAAATCAAATTAAATAATCTTAATTTTCCAGGAAATATTTTGAACTTAATAATCTTAATTTACCAGGAAATATATTCAACTAGATTAATATTAATTTACCAGGAAATATGTTGTAAGTAAACTCATCTAGCACTGCAGTGTCCAAGGGTTCTTCTGCTTCTTGTTTTTCTTCAGCTTCATTGTTCACTTTCTCATCTTTCCCTTCATTCTTTCCCTGAAAAGGACAATAAAGTACTGTTTATTTTAAAATTTTTTAAATAATACATAAAAAAGAATTTAACTAATTTTGAAATAAAAGCAAGAATTATTCAAGAAGACATAAGATGTACCTTACATTTTTACCAACACAAAAAACAAAGTAATACAAAACATATCTATCAACATATAAAAGAGTAATTGTATATCAACTTCTTTAAGCTATGTCAACACCACAAATCAAATTTATCCTATGGATGAAGTAAAAATAGATTTGTCATTTTAACAACTGCAATGCTTTCTGGTCAGTAAAATGGCTTTCTCAATGTTAAAGGTGCACTAATTATGTATGAATACTTTTTATATACTTAAATGCATAGATTTGGTTAACTATTACAGCTTAATTTGTCTCAAGCTTGAGGGAAGTCATGTCATAAAAGCTGGTCCTCTCTGTGTGTTCCCCCCTGACAAGATTACCTGGTCAGTGGACATGACTGCATTTTCCCCTAAAGACATGGCTATGGCTCTCATCATCTGGTCATCATCATTGTCTTGGTCCATGGCCCCAGCCAACGGCTGCAAACAGAGTACGGTAAACCCCTCTTATAAATAAGCTACTGGAAACTTCTAAGTTTACTGTACTGTCGGCTTTCAGTTTTTTTTTTTCATTCTTAAAATTGGCTGTGTTTTGTGTACTTGCAGAAGAGGAGTGGCTGTTAACAAGTCATCATTGCAATGGTACTACATTACTGACTGATCATAGTGGTGCTTTTTTAAGAATATAGCCAACAGTCCTTTAACCATTGGGAATATTTTCTATCTAATAACAGTTCGTTTACCTCCTTAACTAATTTCAATTTTATTTGGTAATTTATATTATATCATCTAAAGCAGGGGTCTCAAACTCAAATCATCCGGGGGCTGCAGGAGGCAGAGTCTGAGTGAGACTGGGCCGCATCAAGTATTCCACACACAAAAGCAATTACAAATTCAACAAACTACAACTAATACAATCTGCTCAGCCTTTAGTAATAACAAATAAAAACATTAAGGGTTCTCAAGAACTAGGCTTCATTTTCTTCCTCCTACTGCTTGTTACCAGAGACCTGGCAGCGCAAGTGACCAAGCTGACAGGTTCAGAATTTCCTTCACTCGTAAACATTAGCTGCAATTTGAATAGGGATTCTTTGATACAGTGTCAGATTGCTACGATTTACACAATTATGGTTGTGCATTACCCACTAACTGACTCTTAAAAATTTTGAAGTATGTATATACAATATCCAAAGCGTCTTTTCTCAAAACCGCAATTAGGCCATATTTGTCTCATAAAATGCTACAAATTAAAAACTTTTAGTCTGATTTTAAAACGGTTTTAACCATTATAATCAACATCCAAATCTATAGACAAAATAAAAATCAGAATTAGACTAGTCGGTGAGATTCGAGTCGCAGAGGGTCACATTATAGATATAGAAATGCCAAAAACGTGCGGGCCGCATTAACGCTAAACTTTGCTGTCATATAGCGGGCCGCAAAATATTGTCTTGCAGGCCGCATATGGCCCGCGAGTTTGAGACCCCTGATCTAAAGAGATATGGTGATATGAATTTGCCTTATCAGCTTTATGTATTAAAAAATAAAAATTGGGTTAATCCATGCAGGCATATGAATTTCGCTTTCTTCTTATTCCTCATTTAAACTAGTCCAAAGTAGTATCAAGTTTTTAAACATAAATTAGACTGAAGACCACATCTTAAAATCTGAAGACTGATCTATGAACTTAGTTACTTATGACATGTTCTCTGGGAGTGGTACACATTTCCATGTTATCTTTTACGTAGTATTCATATTTACAACTAGATACTGAACCCAGAAATGGAGTCTTTAGGGGGCTTTGAAATCTATTTGAAGTATTTGACATTAAAATTACTTACATTTTGAGCTGTACTTGGAACTGGATTAGTGAGAATGTAGTCTGTGGCTTGTTCCAGACTACTAGTGTTGTTAAGGGCCATTATTCCCTGCTCACGAGTGAAGCCCATATCCATTAACTGTATGACATAAATTGTATGCGATTTATGTTTAAAAATACTAGTCTACACAATTTTAGAAAACTGAGGTCTTCTGAAGTCATTATTAAATTGAAGGTTATTTTGCATAATCAGCCCAATGGAAACTTTTACAATTACATCAAAGGATATTTCAAATAAAAAATATGTATTTTTTTCCTGAATATGCTTTACTTTATCTTACTTGTTGCAGATGTGCCTGATTGACCAAGGAATCCAGGGTTCTTCTAGTGGTGACAGAAGGAACAGGGACAGCGGCAGCACCAATGTTACTGGTAATTCCCGAGGGCCCCGCCCCACTAAGATCAACAGCAGTATCTCCAGTTGAGCCTGAAGGAGCAGAGGCTTTCTCTTTCTCTAAATATTTCTGAATTGGAGATAGTATCCTGCTAATTAATCAAGTATAAATCATACAATAAAGTAAAGAAGTCACTTTATTATCTTTTATGTCAATAAAAAATATACAATATAAAGGCAGGAACACCCTTAATTAGTCAGAATTGATTACCTTTATTTTTGCTTCTCCATCAATAATATGGCATAGAATCATCAACACAGATTCAGACATACGACTACCATGTACAAGAAGTGGCTTTTTGTTCCACAAATTCATCACAGAATTAAAAGCAGCCTGCATGGTAAAATCAAAACATTTTTAAAGCTAAGGTTAACAAAAATTGTTTGCAATTAAGGCATTACAACTTGTGCAAAAAAGTTTCATTTCAAGGTAAAAAAAAAACAAAACTGAACAGATGACCGTAATTAAAATCCAGCTAAGTAAATGCACATTTACAAAAAAATAAGTATCAAATGTGTAAAAAAGCATTTCTACCTTCTGTGTGCTAATTAAATATTGCACTGGATTAAAAGGAGTCAAACCAGGCGCTTTGTCTTTTGAAGGAAGTGTATGTGGAGTTTCAAGAACAGCTTTTGGATTGATCATTTTCTCAACTAAAGTTAGCCAGGAGTCTAAAAACTCTCCTGTTCCCTCTGAAATATAAATAGGAATTCAAATGTATTTAATTCTGTGATTCAATACACACATGTACAAGAAAAGTGTGTATGAACTGTTAAATCTTTAAACAAAACTAAGAGAAAAGAAGAATAACATAAAACGTGTGTACAATTTGGCTATTCAACTATATGTACTAAGAGGCATTTCAATACTCTGTGCTCAAGTTAAATCCATTTTTATATGACAAAATATCTACTGATAGAGTAGAACAAACTTTGAGTTTCTTTTTGGTTATAAAATTTGCAAAGAGCTGGAAAAATATTTAACTTTATTTCTAAAATTTGAATATGAATTTAAAACATGTAAAATATTATAGCCCATTTGATTGCAATTTCTTTCAGAGTAAATCTTGAAGTCTACATGTGAATGTCAGACATATGCATATATCTGATGAGATACCTGGAAGATCTGCATGTTCTAGTCCCTCTGACAAAGGCACTTTTCCATTTATTGAAAGGGCCCAGGAGAAAGACCTAAATAAAAAATATTTAAAATTACTTACTAGAAAATAAACAATATTAATCTATTTTAGCAAATGTAAATACGTAAAAGTAGATTCTGAAAACAAAGTAGGCCATATGATGTTCTAGCAAAATTATATCTGACCTATGTTCATCAAGTCCATCTAAAAGAATATTTTTCAGATTAAAGTAGAACACTGATTATCCTAGCACCTATTACCCAAACTGCCTTTTTTCCTTCTTTAACGGCACGGAAGTATTGCAATTCAAACATAGGAAAAACAATTCTACACTTATGGTATTATTGGACGGCAAAAATTGATGATTACTATCATAAAACACTGTACAATAAAGCTCTATAGGGGAACCGGTCAACAAGCCTATGGTGGCTTGCCGATTGGGATGAGCTGGCCACCGGACCCCCCTCGACATTAAACCGGGGAACAAAACCACTATTGCATGTCCTGTGTGGGCAGACAAGGGACATGCGTGGTATCTGCAGGAAATAAAACAGCACCTACAGGGCTGCCAACCGTGACGCTTCACAGTTGGAAGTAAAGGCGAAGGTGCAAAACCGCTAGCCCATGATTCCAACAACGCAGCCCTGAGAAAGCTGCTCCTGGGCCACCGTTTCGTCCCAGCACACAAACTAGTTGCGGGGTGGAAACCCACTGTAGGAAACCCTCTTAAAGGGTGTCCAATGCTTCCCCGGGATGGGAAGGTTGAAGGACGTAAATCAACCATCCTAACTCCTTGGGAGGGTCAGCTGGGAACGCTTTAAAAGCAGCATTTTCGGTCAACCAGACATCCATGAGCGGGGTCCGACCGATGGCCACAGGTGGTCCTGGCCGGAAGAGGTTCCCGGCGTGCCGCCACACGGTCTGGCGGCGGTTAACCCGGCGTCTGGCCCTTGTTGAGGTGTGCCAGGAGGGGCATTACGAGCTCACGCTCGATGGTCCGCCGACGCAATTTCCCAATTGACATATTGGGTGTATAAGAAAGTTTTTATTGTCTAGACACTATGTTATCCAGGGAGGGACCTCCCCTCAACCACCACCACAGGTTTAACACTTTGTAATAATTCAGAAGATATAAATGATGTTAAATTTCAATAGTGACATGGAATAAAGAAATTTGATATGTATATCACATGAAATAAGTTAGTCAAGGTTGTCTGACTTACTGGAAGAGAGCAGCCTGACCCCCACAAGCCACAAACTTTTGAAGCATTAAGTGATAGGGTTGTTTCTTCTCATCAAACAACATTGGGGCTGTAAATCCAGCTGAGCACACCAAAAATGTCATTCTAGAAGGAAAAAATAATCTTTAAAGACAAGGCAAATAAATAGATTTAAGGATAAACAGGGAAAAAGTCTACCAGGCTGAAAAGATGCTATAGATATCTTTAGTCTGGCATGCTTCTGTTATGTACCCTTATATTATTAACTGATCGTGTGAGTAAATATGGATTAGGGTCTGTGGTAAAAAGAAAAACAGATTTGTGTACATGAAGTCTCCAACTACTTAAACAAATAATAATATAATAACTATAATTCTAATGCTCTATCTTTAAGTAAAGCTTTATTCTACTCTTGTCATATAATGTATCCTTTGAGTGTGGCAAAAAAATCAGGTAATCACTAATTTGTCCATAAAGGGATCATGCAAGAATTCAAATACACCCTATGAAGTAAATTTACCGGTAATGAAATTGAAAACAAGAACAAAAGAAGAGAAATTATAGTTACCTTAATTTTGGCTGAGGAGCACACAGAGGTGGCTGAAATGAAAGTCCACCGGCTAACAACTTTGTGAGTGCTAGTGCAACAGCCCTAGCTGCCGGTGATGGAATAGGTGGAGTTGGTGGTGGCTGCTGTGACCTCCTTTGGCGTACAGGTGAGCCAACACAAAGTTTTACCAGCAACACAAAAAGTTCCGACAATGCCCTGCCTAGACGCGATGATAATGTTAATAACGGTTTTAATTGACGCAACTGGGCTTGCATGGCTGGAGAAACTTTTTTCTTGGCCTCTTTGTCATCTGATCCTGACCCCAGGCCAATGGGGCCAGGCAAAATATCTGATTCAATAGAAGTTGACGACGTTGATGTTGTCACCACACCTGGGATGGGGTTAAGGGACTGACCTGCATCTACAATGCTTCTTTGTGTTATTTCCTGCAGAACATTACTGGATACACCAGTCTCTGTTGTAATTAGGGTATTCTGAATAACTTGTCCTGGCTCAGATGTATCCATTCGTTCTTCTCCTGTGGTTAGTGTTTCCATAGCAACACTTACACCATTACTACCAGTTTCTCCAGTTCCACGTGTCATCCCTCCCACTTCTTGCCTTTTATCACCAGTAGCTTTTCCTTCTGCCACTTTAATTTCTTTGCCCACTTCTCCTACATCAGCATTTTCCCCCTTCTCATGAGCATCTTTACTCAAAAGTTTTTCTAAATCAGCCCGTCCAAAGGGACAATCTGCAGGTAAATAGTCCTCATTGCATAATGCCAGCAAAACTGTGCTTTCCCATACCAGAGAGTTGTACAAAGAACTTAAGCCTTTCAACACTTCCAAGCCAAGGTCAGAACCCCAGTTGTCCACAGAGATTGTTCGGATATCAGTCTGAAAAGTAGGTCGAATCTATTTATCAAAAAGTGATTTTAAATTGCTGTTAAATTTTCTTTGAATAATTAGAAAACCTATATGTCAACACACTTCAAAATTAAATATGGTTAAAAAATGAAAGAGTTATATAATTTAAGCAGTTGTGACAAACAGGATTTCTAATTTACACTTAAAGTTCCTCAGCTCTAATATTCCAGCATAATTTAATTTAAGTTAACAATTTTAAAAAAGAAATTGATATAAAAACAAATTAAAAATTACCTGTCCCATACGGCACACATGTACAAACATCATAATATAGGCATGGGCTGAAGCAAGTGCATGGAGTAGTGGAGTTGCAGAAGGAGACAGAGTTGCATCTGGCACATGTGCACTGTTAGCAAGCTCATGAAGGAGTACAGAACCTCCTGGAGACTCTAATGGCCTATGCAATGGCTCCAGTTTCTGAAGGACTTCATGCATTTGTAGAAGACCTTGTTTAATTACTTTTGATTCTCGAGACAGTGTCTAAAAGAAATTAATATAAGTTATTTTATTTTGTAATTTCAACAAAGGAAAAAAAAAGAAAATGTGTAAGATGCATAAAAATATTTTTTGTTAAATGACCAAGTATATTTTCTAACGATTATTAATTTTGTATTTTGAAATAACTAGTACCAGAACTGATTTGCAAGCACTAGATACGGCTTGACATGCTGGAGATGATGGAAAGTCAATAGGTAAATTTGGCAAACCCAAAATACTCATTAAAGGCTTCAATCCGTTCTGTGCAACAAACTCTTTGCAATGGTCATCTGTTGAGTTGTTACTCAAAATGGCTTCCACAAATTTCATCTGGAGGAAAAGAAAGTTGATAAATATCTGGATGTAGAGTCATTTTCACAAAATTAGGACTTAACCCACGAACTGTGGCATGCATTATTCTGTGGTGTGGAGCTTTTCAGAGCGTTTTGGGTGCCATTTGAAATTGCATTAAATGACATAGAAATATTGCTACAAGGCCCCTGAAGTACATATTTTTAGAAAGGTAAATGGATGGTGATAAAGTTGGCCGTATTGCCTATCCCATAAAAAAATTTTGCTCAGTGTCCTTGACCTTGGAATTCTCAAGGAAAAAAATTCGACAAAATGTCTTGCTTTCAAGTGCTCATAACATCATTAATTTTTATAGATACACTGAAAACACAAATCTAAATGTTGTAGCCAATTCATTTATCTTTCAGAAAATGTATAGTTTGCTAAGGTTTTGATTGCAATTAAAGATCTGAAAGCAATTTTAGGTCATTTATATAAGAAACTGAGGACCACTGCTAAAACCAAGTACAAAATACAAAATCTCAGGCAAAATAGTTATTATCGACTAGTAAACATTTAAAAAGGAACTGTGGAACTGATTTGGTTTGTTTCACTATAAAATTTATTAGTTCTGAACTATAATCTGTAGATTCTGTGACTAAAATTCAGTCAGTCCTTGCCCAACCTCCAGGGCTGGCTCGAAGTCTAACAGTAGCCTCAGTAGGCCTACTTCAGTATCACTAAAACTAGTAAAAAATTCACGAAAAGAATAATATCAACTGATATCGTCATGAGGAATGTTAAAATCAACATCAGTATCACTTAAAACCTCTCCTAAAAAGCTTTCAAACATATTTCTATTAGTTCTTGCACTGAAGGCCCAGCCATAGCGTCATCCATTTAGCTTTAAAAAAAAAAAGCAATATAAAATCCGATTAAAAAGTATTTATTTTCCCTTTACCACGAAAAAACAGCTTGAACCGGAAGATGATTTAATTATCAATAAAAGGAAGTGGCTATAATTCCGGTTAAATATTGGATTGGAAGTTGCTTTCAGGACGTGTGTTTTATCAGCCGATTTTTTCGGCCGCCATAGTACAGAACGGGAATGTCGTGGGTTAAGGATACAATTATTTAGAATTAATTTTTTTGAGCTGTCAAATTTGTTGTAGGTATGTGTCATAGAGATGAGATTCTATGGCTTTGGAGTGACAAATAAGGTATAATTAAGTTCATTGCTTTATCTTTTGGGCGAAACAAGCAATTACAAGTTTTATGTAATGGTTTTATAGAAGACAAATTTAAGAATATAGAACATTTACTTATATATTAAAAGATTATTATGATTTGTAAATTGAAAAGAAAACAATTTAATGTACATGTTCACTTACAACATTCAAAACATAGTCCATGAGTGGTATTGCTTGCCTTTCCTGCATTCTAAAGAAGAAACTTACTTTTAAACTTCATTTTACGAATGAGTTAGCATATGAATTTGATTACAATACCAAATAGCTCATTAACAATAAGTGATAAAAACATCATTTTTTTTAACAAATGAGATCACATATATTCCCTTTTTTATTTTTTATTTTACTAATCCCAACACTAATGACATCTTTTGGAAATACTAAATAAAGCATTTCTTTTAATATTTGTCAGATTTTTTAAAATTAGTCAAGAATAAAGTATATGTTCCTGGAAAAATTAAAATATTTGTATAACCCCGTATTCAAGTGACCCAAGTTATAAGTCCAATCTGATTTGATAGATCCAAATTATCATGTTATAACCAGGTTCACTGTAACTTTGAAGTTACCTCATTTAAGCTTATTTACTTCAAATCAAATTAATATCAAAATATTTTACACAGTTATTATTATAAATATTCTTTAAATTAAATGTGTGGTTTGCAAATAAGTAAATCAAATGATCTATTTGAAATTAGCTTGAAACAAAACCACTGGAACTAATAAACTAAACATACTGCAATGGATCTTGGTGTGATGTTGAAGGTGCAGCTGGTTTGACCTGAGATGCAGTAATGTGAGCTGACGCTGTAATGGAGGGTGGCATATGTGGCATCTCCACCTCTTCATCTTCCTCTTCATCTGATGAGCTAGCCTCATTTGATTGTGGAGATCTTACACTTGAAGACTGGGCGACAGTCTGATCCGATTTAGGCTGTTGTTTTTGACAAATGAAATGGGGGTCTTGGCCCATGGAGCAGATTTCTTCAAGAAGCTTGGGAAAAAAATGTTTTATTTGTAATAGGAGCAAATGAACCATGAAACATTTTAAAGATTATTTAATTTCTCTCAGAAAATATTTTTGTCTACAAAGAGATAAGACACGTGCTTGAAACATCAAAGAGAAAAAAAGGCAAACATTTTTTTTAATATCAACAAAATAGTTATAAATAAGACCTCCCTGGTTACTTCTTTTTCGCAAGCATATACTCTGAATTACCTTGATGATAGCTTTAGTTGCATCTGTTCTTAATGAGGGCTGGTGTCTCATCAGTTCATCCATAGCATTGCCAAGATTGCTTGCTGTGTCACCTACAAAATTGCAAACAATGGATCAGATTTGACCCCCCATGCCAAAATCAGAATAATGTTGGTACTAGCTAAATCTTCGAGAGAGCACTTGGGCACTTCAGTTTAACATTTTGGCAGCAGAATTTCTGACTTTAAGTAAACAATGTTGCTTAAAAAGCCTTTTTAAAAATATTGTACCATATAAACTGTACCAACTTTAACCTGATTTGGACATGGAGGGTCATTTGTTATTTTAAAATGTCATTTTGTCCCTTGTGAGTAAATAGTATCTAGAAAACTAGTTTACAGAAAAGACCTCCTGTAACCTTATGTTTGGATATAATTATGGCAGAATTATTCTTTCATGAGAATGAGATCAAATGAAAAAGTAATTCCTAGAAGAGAATTGTATTTATTCAAAACTTTTTAAACTTATTTAAATATCTATTTGTTCACAAAGGACAAATACTTTTCAACATACTGAGAAATTAAATAAATTCAGCTTTACATACCATCATTCTTTTCTTTTAATTTTAACTCTTCCAATTGTTGTAAGAGGTTTTACTTTTATTTAAAATAATCTCACACACAATATTTTCCCTAAATTCAAACAAACTTACTAAAGTATTTTGTCTTAAATTAAAACTTACATTCTGCATATAATTAGCTAGTTTCTAAATGACCAGTTAATACTTTATATTATCATAGCATTTTCAACATTATTATTAAAAAAATTGTATTTACCAAAGGTATCTGAACTGCGTCGTCTTCTCATTGCAGGAAGATAGTCAGGTGATAAAAGGACCTTAAAGAGCCTATCAAATGGTTTACAAGCCACAAATGCCTCAAGGCCACGAGCATTAAGACAAAGAGCACTAAACACATTTGGTAAGGATGCTAACACTTCTCTTGTTGCTGGTACCTTTAAGAAATATAAAGCAATTCTTAAAAATGACCTTTGCAGTAAAACTATTTTAAAAGCAAACAAAACCAATGAATTGAAAAATTCTTTTAAGTTATGACTAAATTTAACTTAACATCAAAGTAACAACAAAACTCACATCTTTAATCAACAAGGCATGTAAAACCACATCAGTAAGGCCCTTATCTTGCAATGAGGACAGAAGAGATGGCTCTTGAAAGACATAAACTGTGACCACATCAGTAGCTGTCAAAATAATGCATCAATATTTTAGGGAATCAATTCTTTTTAAATTTGGATCAATTAACATTACCTTTCTCTCTCAGATGGTCTTGCATCTGCATATTTAAATTAAGACACTGCTTGAAAGCCTCATTGAGAAAAAAAAACTTAAGACAAAAAACTACATGCTAAATAACAGTCTTACCAAGCAGAAACAGAGAAGGGCCATAGTATTCCGCATTGCTTATTATGTGCTTTAATGATTTGGGTAGTGAGCCATCCATTACTGAAATAATGGAAAAAGCAGCTAATCAAATTAAACCCTACATAAAAATATGCAGTTAAAGATTAGGAGATTAAGTCTTATTACAGTTACCAAAAAAAAAAAAAAAAAAAAAAAAAAAAAACAAAAAAAAAAAAAAAAAAAAAAAAAAAAAAAAAAAAAAAAAAAAAAAAAAAAAAAAAAAAAAAAAAAAAAAGGCATTAAATCTTACAATGTCGAATGCTCTCAGCGAAGGACAAGTCGGGTATAGCTTTCTTCATAAAATTGAGCATTGACTTGAGCAATGCAGCTCTCTGAGCAAAACAATGTCTTCCTGAAAAGCAAGTATATGCTAAGTTAGTAATACAAATACTTCAAATTCAAAAGAAATGTAACACAAACATGAAAAAAGTTTCTCTCAGAGGTGATTTTATCTACAAACTGATTTTAAGACACGTGCTTGTGAACATCACTGAGAAACTATTTTTTGGATAGCTATAACCAATGAAATAATTTTATTAAACTCCTAAGTGTAAAACCTTAAAGTGAAGCAAATGCTATTACCTTTATTATTTGGTAGCAAATTTCCATCCTCTCCAGATTTAATGCTGTCTGACACAGGCAAATGAGAAAAGCTTGGATCAGCTGCTGAAGAAGGAGCCGAGTTGGATGCAGCATTTATATTAGCTGTCGCAGTGCTGTCAGAACTTATCGCATGTTGCTCACCATCAACAGTCTCTTCTGTTATAGATGTGTCCATGGCAACAGAGAGTGGTGAATCTACCATTCCATCCATGCTTATTTCTCGTCCACGGGGCCTTATGACAAACGGTTGCTCTTTACGACAAATGTTTACTTCATGCTGCAAACATTTCAATAAAATGAATGTGTTGATTTTCTGTCACTTTGTTATACATTTGCTTCAAAAATTTTGAGAATAAACTTTATTTAAACATAGCATGTACCTGTTATGAGGGGAAACGCTTTATTTTATATCCAGGAACATGTCTTTAATTGGCACACTTAAAAAAATGTAGAAATTACTGTTACATTATTGTGTTTGTTTTATGTAGTTCTGATGCAAAAGAAGAATAACTGACTGACCTCCAATCTGTTAATAAAAGCCTGCAAACCTCCATGGGCTTGAAAAGCTGCCATGTCCATGTTTGTGATTAAGTCAATCACTCGTACAGCTCTTGTCACAAACTAAGGATAAATATAACGGTGAAAAATAAAAAATGTGAACCTTTGGTTTCTATTTCTAACAACATAATCTAATTGTAATTTACTATTACATTAACATTCAAATCAGCTCTATAGTCATCAAATAAATGTGAGATATCTTAAATACCGTTATATGTTCTTGGCCATCTCCATACCAGTTAATTACTTTAAGTAGTGACTCCATCATACCACAAGATACTAGAGCTTCAACACCTAAAAAAGGGTTGCAAGAAATGCTACATAAACTGGCAGCTATTTGTGATATTTTATAATTTATAGTATTTTTAAAAATTGAAATCAGTAAAGCAATCAGGATAATAACAAATTGATTAACTGTAGAGAAAATTTATGTTCGCTTATGGTTAGAAATATTGTATTGCTGCATGACTGAAAATTTATAAACTATTTTTTTTTAAAAGCATCATCTTTTGTAATAGTATTTGAAGTTTTGTGTATACATTGAATTTTTTAATTTTTTAAATTGTGAATTAATAAATAGAGTATAGGGCATTCTCTGGTAGTCAACTATTTTTAGAGTTTAATTCCATTGATCTGTCAAATAAGTATGCGTTTATTAACCATTGGTCACAGCCTCATTTGATAAAATAAAATATCAATTTTTTTTTAAACCACATTTTTATTTAATAATATAAAATTATATTGGATGATAAGTTTTTTAAAAAAATACTTTAATGTGCAAAAGGCTTGGAACAATAAATTGTTTTACGGTTCAAAAGTAGATAATATAAAAATAACTATACGGATATAATACCAATAGAAGAATTAAAGGAATACATTTGGTACTTTTATAATAGATCGTTAGAGATCTGAAAAGTTTAATCAAAATTAGGAATCGGCAAGTCCATATTTTTTTCATTTTCATTGATGAAAATTAACCAGTCTTGTGTTTTTAATTATTTACATTTTATGGTTTCATTACAAACATTTTCCAAACACTGAATAGGAAATTTAATTATCAGGTAACATCTTTAATAATAACATACAACTATTCAATTACAATACTAAAACTTACCATTATCATAACTGGCCAGATGATACAAGAAAGAAAACAGTGATGTAGCATATGTTTGTGTAAATGGCTTTAATTCAGGATCTGGAAAAGAAAATTATATTTTTTAACGATTAACCTCTTGATCAGAATTTCACCAATAGATTTTAACATAGAAACAGCTACAGTTAAAGAATATATCTTATTTTACATTTTTGAAAAGTGGTTCGAACAAGAGATCAGAACATACCTATCATATGCTGAATGCAAGTTCTAACTAATACAGGAAGAAATCCATGGTATGATGAGGCCCCAGTAGCATCAATAATACTGTTGAGTCTAGAGACAAAGTTTTAATGAACTGTTAATGTACTTAAAAGTATAAACACAACAATGTACTCTTAACACAATATGTTTATTTTTTTTAATCTAAAGATAAAGAACATTATTAAAAAATATTTTAAAAATTACTTTAAACCAAAGACATACCTGGGATTTCTTTCTATGTGTATCACAGAGGTCAAGGTCCGAAGAGCTGCTGACTTGATATCCTATTTTTAAAAGAATTTCAGTTTTGAAATCTTTAAAATCATCTTTCCAAGACAAAATTTGGGTAATAAAATTGATCTAATAATTCACAAATTAGAATAACTTCACTATTTAACAACAAAGGGTTTCTATGCCCTTAAATACACTTGATCATTGCTGCAAAATGTCATCACTCTTAAGTGTCAAAATTAAATGGAATAATAACAGGCTATTGCAATTGCTTTTAACAGGTGTAGATGGCTTATGGTTGACCTAAACTAAGCGCAATAGCAGGATGGTATTAACTGTAAGTTAAAAGCACAAGCATGCTCTGCACACAATGGGGCCAGGCTGGCAAACACAAAAACAACAACAACAAAGAACAAAAAAAAGACAAAATCAACAAAGACAGTATTTGAAGACTTTCCTTGATCATTTTATCTTGTTTACACTTATAAGCATACAACTATGTATTAAAAATAAAGGTAAAAATTTACTAAAATTCTTTTGAAACGCTAACTATTAGGTATCTAATAAATTGCATGCACCAATGAAAATGATCTAATTATCTACATCAGCAAATGGATTGCAGTGGACTGCATATAAAGGATTTACACAATCTTTGGACAAATCAATATAGTAACCATCACTTGCTAATTTGTGGTTTCAATTTTATTAATGAGAATTTTACTTACAACCAATGCAGCATCTTTAATCTCCACAATGTCCACTAGCTCCTCAATTAGTCCAGGATAGAGAATTACATTCATGTTATCTTGGATAGCACTTGAGTAGACTGAAACAAAAATATTCACCAATTATGAGAAAATGAAAATAAGAGGCTTTCATAATTGTTTCACACTTTTAACTTATATCCTATAAATTACTCCTTTTGCTATAAATCATCAGCTAATTCAAAGTAATGTTAAATCTATCATATAGTTTTGTTTAAGTTTTGTAAAGTGGAATAAAAATGAAATTACAATCCACCGCAAAATCTTTAAAAAAATTTGAAACCTACCAAGGATTGATATAGCTTGAAGCCTTGCTTGAACACAATGCACACGTGCCTCATAGTTAGAAAATAAGCAAGCCAGTCGAATGTGAGTAAAGAGCAATACCTTTTTGAAAAAGAATTTTTTTTTATTTATATCATTTTGTCTTCTTCAAAATTTTATTTCAAAATAATACACTTTGCGCCAAGATGAAACAGTGGTGGGGAAAATTTTTAAAATTAGCAAAATCTCTGATGCAAAACTGGAAGTTGAACAATGCACACACACCAGGAATTTAGGTATTATATAGTTACTAGAAATAGCCTGCAAACATTGGTGACAGCAAGGCATGAACTTCCCTTCTACTAAACATCTGCTAAAACTTGAACTCAAGTAACACATATTTAAAAATCCCAATTTTTGCAACAACACCACCTAACCCACCCCCCCAAACTCACTGCACACTTTTTATTTTACACCCATGAACTATATTAAATATTCTAATGTCCCAGCCACTTTTAAACCGAATATTTTTTTACACCATACTTAAATTGAAACTATTTCCTTTTCCGAAAAGAAAATATTACGCAGCAAACGCAGTTGCATTGTATATTTTTTGAAAATTATTTAGCATGGTTATCTGGAATTATATTTTGCATGAGATTGAACTCATTATTGAACCATACTACCTTTCAAACATTTCAAATTATTTGTAATATACTCTCAATGCCAAATTCACTTATTAGGAAGCAGTCCATTAGGAAGCAGTCCACGAGTCACACCAGAAGCATAATATATATATAAAAGATTATCTAGATATTCAGTTAAAGTAGGAAAACATAAGAAACAGAGCTGTTTACTCTTACGATTTTAGTGTACAAATGTATGATTTTGAGACGTATACATTATATATACTGTATCTTTATTTTTTTACTATTAAGATAATGTATTGACAAATTTTGTGATGATATTTTAAGAGTTTGCGGGTAAACAGGTCTGAAGAAATGATGTTGGCAGAAAATTTGTGAACTTTCCAATGAAAATTAGAAAAAAATTCCACACCTCTGCACCATGGAGAATGAAATCAAAAATGTTTAAAACTGAAATATACATCTTAGCAAAGAAGTAAATTATTTGTTTTGAATCATAAACCAAACTACCAACCATTAATTCAAATGCTTTATTTTAGACCCAACTACCTTTGCCTCAGCACATTCTACTTGTAGATAATATGCATTAAATTATATGAAATACCAACTACAGGAATTATGCTCACCTTATCTTAAGAATATTTAAAAATTGTACACATACATACCTGTTTTTCTTCTGGTACATCATAAGAATCTAAAATATCTTCCATTATTTGTGATGGCATACGACCAGTCTTGTCTACATTTTCCATGTGGATACTCTGTATAACTGTTGCTGTGCCCTTCAAATTTCAGTTAAACACTTAATATGTGTTAAAGTTTATTTCAAGAGTCATATCATAAAAAAAAGAAAAGAGATAAACACTTTGAAAATTTCACAGTAAAAGTGGATAACAGTAAAAGTATGTTCACCATAAATTTGACTCAGTTTTAAATCATAATTACTTAATAATGCACATATTTTAGTAACAATGCGACTTACTGGTTGTAATTTTCTATTGCTTTTGTCCTCCTTACTTTCTGTATAGAATTCAAAATGCAGAGTTGTGGCACTGGGTGGAAAGCTCTAAAATAAATAATTTAAATGATTGTTATAGTTCGTTTGTTGAAGATTTAGAATTATCACAAAAAGTTGTATTAATAGAAAATCAGTTGTCTACATTTTTCAATGTTAGTAGCAAATAGTGTCTAATTTGAAGTTCTTAACATTTATATTAGTTGTGGATTCATAAGCCCAGGAACCTATTTTTTCATTATGAAATTTATTACTAAAAACAAATAGCTAAAGTTTTCAGCTGTGTTATAACAATATCTGAATTGATGGTATATCTTTATTTTTCATTTACAAAACCATTTAACAGAGGTTCTCAAACTTTTTTTTTAATACAATAAAGAGTATAGACTAATTCCTAAATGTCTATAGATGGCTGAGGATAAGCTATCTATCTAAATGATATGGCCTGAAAGGTCAATCCTAGGATTTGATCAAACAAACAAAAAAACTTTCACACCTAACTTTTTTTTTTATGTGCGAATAATCTGTGGATGGCAGGCTAGATGTAAATTTGATTTATCTCTAGCTCTCTTAAAGAAATTAACGAAAAGTATCTCATGAAATATACCAATACAATGACCTCATCTGACTCAATTAGTATTTATTTTTTAGTTTATAAGTACAAAGGATGTAAATTTGACATTCAAGCCTGTGACACTTGAAAGATTGAATGATAGCATGTGTAAAAAAGATTGAACAACTAACTTAATGATTATAATAACAACTACTAGATTTGATAATTATTACTGAAATAGAACATGTTAATGTTACAATAAATATGTCCCTGTGAATAGGTAGCCTGTCATAAAAGGGTTAAGAGCAATGCCCTATGAACAACTGGCCAATAAACCTATAGAGCAGAGGTACAATAGTCTTGCACACTTATGACTCAAGCACACTCCATGAACAGCCGCTAAGGTTGTTTGGGTGATGGATGACAAGGCCTATAGAGCACTTACTTCAACGCTTACACACCCCGATATGTGGATCTAAGGTAATGTGCAATTTTTATATAACTATTTTAAAATAATGAAAGTCAAGAAACAAAGCCTACAACGATAAAAAGTTGTTATTTTTCAAACAAGAAAAAAAGGAGTGTTAACTTAAGGACTTAATATTTTTATATTTAATTTACTAATCAATATTAAAGTTTAAATATAACAACACAACTTTTATGTTATGAGCTTTTTAAAAACTAAATAAAATAATATACAAAAAAGAGCCTGATGAAATGTATGAGTATGTAACAATGGATTATATCTGATAGCCTCTCTAAGGAAATTAATATAAGCAGAGATTATTTACACTGCCCACCATTAAGTGACAAATATAGGTACCCGGTACTAAGTCCAAAGTTGATATAATTTTAAAGGGAAAAAATAAGTGAATTTAAAAACTTGGAAAAAGAGTTTAACAGGAACTAAATGCTTCAAATTAATTAGGTAAACTGAAGACAAATCGAAAGATCAGGTTAATTTTTTTAATATAAATGTTTTGACATTATTGATAAAGCAACAATTAAAATAAATAAATAAAAAGTGAATAAATCTTATTACAACAGTTACTGTCTATAATAATGTTTTAAAAATATAGAAAAGGGATGTTGTTTTTTTCTCAAGACAAAACATTTTCTTCACACGAGCATTGCTTTACCCATGAATATAATAAAGTTATTTTGTTTAAGTTTGATTTTTTAATTTGACAGCTTGATAATCTTCTCATTGCTCATGTGAGGCTACAGAATACTTTCATAAAATTTAGGTATATAAATATTTATATTGTGCAGTTTTATATCTAGTCCTGCAAGTTCTGATGCATAGAAAATATTTCAGATTGATCAAATGGATAGCTTAAAAATTACAATGAGTAAGCTGTGACAGAAACTCAGCTCCCTAAATTACTGGCTTAGAGATGATCAAAATGATTAACTATCAAAGAACTATGGTGACTCTGCTCAGGTGACAAGTGAAATAAAAGGTTTATGAAAAAGAGGTGTCCCTATATACAGGCAACTTGATGTAGTGTGGATAAAGAGCAAGTCCTAGTACAACAAGCATATGAACCTGTAGAACAGAGGTACAATAATGTTGCACGCTTATGACTCAAGCACACTCCATGAACAGCCGGTAAGGTTGTTTGGGCGATGGATGACATGGTCTACAGAGCAAGATAGACTTTCAGTTCACCTCTTCTTCACCCGGATGTGTGGATCTAAGGTAACGTGCTGAATTAATTCCCCAATTTGAATTGAGAATATTAAGTACTATGGGGTATAACTTATTGCTACTTACCCCAGAAGGAAGGTCTTGGCAGCACTCAGCCAATCCAAAGCCATTTTCCTTGCCACCCCAACTCTGGGTGAAAGCAAGAAAACAAATGGGTATATATTTAGTATACAGGTATTATGGTTAACCTTTGTCTTTTTAATTTAATTCTTTAATTAAAGCCTTTCTTTTTTTTCTTTTTTAAATGTAAAGGCATTTAATCATATCTTATCAGATCCTATATTTTATTCATGTTAAAAGATTGAAAAGGTGTACACAAATTTTTACTTTAGTTAACATTTTGACTTAACCAGGTGCAGTTTTTTTTTACACCGGGCCGGGGTATTTTGAGCAAATACCCAGTGGGTCCAAGTGTTACAAAAAAAGAGTGAACTTCTCATTTTCCATAATATAAACAATACACCTACAGAGAGTCCTACACCCGACCTGCCGGCCTTTAAACAATAGGCATATATAGTCAGTCCTATATACTACCTGCCTGCCTTTAAACAACAGGCCAAGAGACAGTTCTACACACTACCTGCTGGCATTTAAACAATAGTCCTGCAAACAGTCCTACACCATACCTGTCCCTCTTTACTGATTATATAATAGTCACCTCCGGGAAAAATTCTAACGTTTTACCTAAGTTCAACCATCATGAATGACACCAACTGTTTGACAGCTTTTTTTATCACTTAGTGCTATTATTATGAAACATGTTAAGATGGGGAAGGGCCGTTTGTGAAATGGTAGAACCCACACCAGAAGCAAAATGTATATGAGATGTTTACTATTTTCTGAGAGAGCAAAAAAATCTGTCCTAAACTACCGACAAATAAATTACCAAACCGCTTACCTCTGCCAAATGAATTAACCTTTGGATAAGACCCTGTTTCTTTTCAGGGTTCATGCGTGTGATGAAATTAGAACGTTTGCTGTTAACACAAAGATAATGTTTTTGTAACATAGATTTCAGGAGAAATGCAGTACTTTATTTACTCTTAAAATTAAAGAAAATTGCATTTCAGTTGCAAGGTTTGCTCAGCTAAAAAGATATGATTTCTTCCTGACTGAATCAAAGAAAGGGAATACATACAAATTTTAATAAATAAAATATATGCTTAATCTCTATTGTCACCCTACCCTCTCAGCTTCAAGAAAAATTTAATTTAATTTATTTTATTTACTGCAAAAGTAATACTTTTAACAAAGCAGTTTTTAAACTTTTTGGGGTGATGTTATGAACGGATGTCAAAGTTTAATTTTTTTATATGCCAATATTTTATTAAATAAATGGGATAACAATTACAGGAGGCAACTAAATTAAACAATAAATTTATTAATTATAAGATATTGTTTCAAAATAAAAGGTTGGGCAGTAAAATGAAAGTAGAATTCATATTTACCTAAAGACATACAGTAGATTTAACACATAGAGAACTGTACTCATATCACATGATGTCAATAAAGTAGTCAAATGGTCCATTGAATTATAAAGGTGTCTAGAGAAGCTATGTTCAATCAACAGGGCAGTGAACCGTAAAATTTCCAAGAGTAGTTTCTTCAGCTGTGTAAATATATAATGATCTTTAAAATATCTATGTAAGCCTAATTTTATAAAATATGGTTACCAGTTCACATATAAAATCAAAATTTGGAAACAGTAAGTTGTAGTGGAAATAATAACTGGACTTAAATAACGTCAAAGTCTCCATTCAAGCTATGCTACACCATGAAAGAATAGCAACATAAAATAACTGAATAAAGAAGCTTCTAAAAAGGTGACAACCAAACTGTTGCTATTATACAATCATGTCATAATATTTGAATGCACACCTGCTCACTTCCCTGCAAGTCACAGTGGAAAGTCCATTTCTTGTCACTTTCTTTGGTGCATGACTTCTCTAGGATGGCATCAAACACATCCAAAATATCTGCCCAATGATATAGCTCGCACTGAAATATTTTTAAAAACATTTTAGAATTATATCCCCTGATAACAATAACTGGCCTGATTACCAATGCTGATATTTCTTAATCGCTTTTTAAAAATATCAAATATATATCTCTAAAATTAATTTTGACACCAACAATTTTCTGTACTGTACAATTCTTTCCTTGCTGATATATATTTGGAAAGGTCACAATGCCTATCCTACTTGGCTTCATTTTACCAATATCATACTTAAAATTTGTAAACATTTTTTCTATAATTTTTTTCAATAAACCCGGTCTGTCATGTTCCCTTTCCCAAATTAAAGAGCAGAAAAACTATATTTATATATGAATTACACACTTTTCCATAGGTCCATGCTTTGATATCTTTGAGTTCTTTAAAAAGGTCATCTGAAGATAAGCTTTTCAGTTTGTCAATTAGAACCTTGCAATCTGCAGGCTGGTAAAAACAGTATTACAATATGAATATATTTAAAAAATTGTATTTTATTTATAAACTAGCTCAGGCAATGCAACAGCATTGCAAATGTAAAATTGGAAAGATCCACTAAATTGTTGTAACCACTGGGTATCCCAAATAGTAAAATTGCAAATTAAAGAATAAATTGTGTAAATAATAGAAATAATACTGTCATTTGTAACTGCAAAATCTTTAGTTGAGGAATTTAAGCTGTTAATACTTTTAAAAGGGTGTTAAACTGTGTTAACTTTCCTTAGGGCGTACAATGTCACCTCAGGAATTATTATTATAGACTATACAATTAATATTTTAAACAAAATTTTTAAAAACTGTTATTACAGATATACTTGGAAATTAATTGGACTTGGCATTAATAAAAAAAAATTTTTTAAATTTTTATAAATGATAAGACTGCAGCCAAGTTAGGTAAAGAGCGAAGCGAAGTAAGGGAAAACTTCAATAAAGGTCACAAAAAACAACGAACATGTCTGCAAGAAGCCTTCTTCAGCAAACAAACAACGGTAAAAACAATATAAAATAAAAATAAACACTTAGCTGCTATGTAGTATTTGAGAGGACAGCAAGATAAATTTTCAAGAATATATTTTTATTTAACATTGTTTATACTGTTTTTTTGTTAGCTGACACATTCGTTGCTTTGTTGCGTCCTTTTTTAAGGCTTTCCCACACTTTGTTTCGCTCATATCCTTTTAATTTTTATAAATCTCATTAATTTTGTTGATTAACCTTACTTACCACCTCCGAAGAGGATTTCTTTAATTTAGATCTATCAACTTTCATATTTATTTCATGTCAGTGGTCTGAAAGAAAAAGATAACATTGCAATTATTCTGGAAGATTAACCTGCACTTTCTATTAAGTCATGCAGAAGTGATTTAAAAGCACACACAAATAATGTATCAAATTAATCCTCCTGATTATGTTCTGAGGTGTAAATAAGACAAGGTTTTTGCATGTAATCTTCTTAACTGTTAATAACATACTCTAAAAGCTAGGGACAAAGAAGAATGTCTCTGTGGCGTAGTGAGGGTTAGTGCTGCCTGGTGTGGCGGTCAAGATTCTTGCCGCCCACCACCACGGTTTGCCAAAAATGCTGTCCCTCCATATAAAGAAAAAAGTGCAAACTGGGGTGACCCCCATCCCCCTCCAAGTGGAATGAAATTTTCTTGGCAGTTGTGTTCATCTCACAGTAGGTAAATAACTTGTTCAAGTGAGCTGTGATTGGTCAGCTCTAAGTCTTAATTATTTTGATGACACCTAAGTTGACTGATTAGTGCTGAGTAAAATGAGACAGTGTATGATTTTATATAGATGGATGGACCTGATTTGCTTTATTAGTAATCCGTTCTGATATTGACTTCTCAATTACCGTAGTTTTCATTACACTATCCTTTTTCACCTCTTTGTAAATCACAAACTTCTTATTGATGAGAAATCACACATTTTTAAAAAGTATACACTTTTATTAAAAGTTTTAAGAAATATTGGCCCATCTAACACACCCCCCCCCCAAGTCAATGGATGCAAAGCCGTGCGAAGGAAAAGCTGCGACCTGGGCAAAGCCGGAAACTACAGCCCATAGTATATAGAAAATGTGACCCCTGATATAGACATGACTGGTGATTATGACCTGCATGGATGGCCCCAGTTTTCAAGATGCCTAGAATATGAGATACTTAAATATTTAAACTTGTCTAAACCCACCACTGGTTTAGAAATAAAAATATCTGACATTAAAACACAAATAAAGTATAAAAAACAAATTTAATGAATACAAATACAACATGTATTTAAATCTAGATACATCTTAATGAATTTGATTTACCACAATGGCGCCATGAATGACCAAAGATTCATGAAATTTTTTTTTTTTAATCTCATACAATTTCAATCAATTTGTGGGCACTTTGTAAAAATTTCAATACATTTTAAAAATATATAAATACTACTGCTTTATTTGAGCCAAGAGAATGGATTACAAAAACACCAAGATCAATTTTCTAGCTCAAGTGGTTCAAAAGTTTTAGCAATTTTTTAGCATCGACCTCAAAACCAATTCATTCTTCCACACTTTGTGACCCTATTTCGCTTTTGCGCCTATAACTTTATTATAAAATGAGGTAAAAATATAATATTTAAAAGGAATATGGTTAAATATGAGTTTTACTAAATAAAACATAACATTTTTAAATTAGTTGTAGTTAATATTCCACAAAATAATTCTTTGATGTCTATAATTTTCCTTATAAAAAATTTAAAAAAAAAAAAAAATTAAACATATAAATATGCTGACTTGAAACTTTTTTGTATTTCAATTAGTTGTTTTAAATAATATATTTCTTTTAATTTCCCAAAATAATAATATTATTCTTTAGATATTAATTTCAAATTTTCTGTGGAATTGTTTTACATTTAAAAGTATAAACAAATAATACAGGGATTGATTCATTTAGTCAAAATTTACGGGCGGGCAAAGACCGAGCTCTGTGAGGTCAATGCCCAGCACCACAAGCCTCTCGGTGGTGTTACACGGGATCTTGCATCTTCGTGGCGTGCCCGACTAGTAGGGGGGAGTTTTCCTTCTGAAGCTAAAAGATCCCAGGCAAAAACACATGACTTCCAACGCAACGGAAGTTGAGCACTAACATGATTACTTGTTGCCGTTCATGGGTGGCCTCCAAACCCTTGTCAATGATTAAAAAGACGCGGCCCTGAGAAAGCCGCCCTTAGGCGACCGTTTCGTCCCCGCTACATCCCGACCGGACAGCTCCCTGGGCGGTGGGGAGTGGTAACGCAACGCCTCCTCTCCGGAGAGGAAGTAAAGCCGTTCTGACCCAAAGGAGAGCGGACTACGGACGCTTTAAACGCAGCGCACTCTGTCCACCGGACGTCCCTCACGCCAGGAGGGAAGTTTCCGGCGCGCTTCCGCGCGGTCTGGGGCTTCGGCCCTGGCCCGTTTGGGTGATTGCCAGGGGGGTATTGTGAGTACGAACTCGACGACCCACCGACACCATCTCCAAAGTAACGTTATTAGTCAAAATTTACAATAATACTTTTTATTTTACCATTTTCTTTATATGGATTTAAGTCCCATATGAATATGACCAAAAAATTAGGATATCATTTATTTTAGGTTAGTCATGTTGTTTCACGAATCAACATGTATTGTTAGAATCAACTTTGGCGGTTGATATAAATTAAAATAAGTTCTAATCTTTGCTTGAGGTAAGTACAATGTTTTATGATTATTCTTTAGTCATAATATAAGTCATTATTGGATTATTTTGGCAGAAAGTGTGTTTTTTCTTTTAGAATACTGAGGATTATATAATAATTCTCTTATGGAATATTATGATATGTGATTAAACATAAGATATTTCAATACTAAAAGTAAGTGAATTTTTAAAAAAACATTTTCATTCAATTTATGCCTGAAGAATCATAATAATAATATTCATTAAAATATGATCGCATAGCCTAAAATATATTAAATATAATTTATGATAGGTCCCACAAATAGTAAGTTGGGTTGGAGCTAGAGATGTATTATATACACTTCCGCAATATACCGACCGTCGCAGCCTTCAAAACTGCCCTCAAGACACATCTATTCGAACTATGCTGTACCGACTCATTCTCACCTCCACCCCCCTAACTGATTAACAATGCTCGATGCTGCTGGGTGCAGTCCATGGCTAGACAGGGGTACAAAGTACTTGGGTGGATGAGGTTAGGCTTTTTACCAATTGTTTTTAAATGTATAATTTTCTTTAATTGCTAATTTTTATGTGACATACAGTGCGCCAAGCCATAGGCTGGGGTATTGCGCTATATAAAACACCTTTAAAAATAATATATATATATATATTGGTATTACACTAATATAAATAATATAGTTGTAATAAAGCCCTTTTGTCCCACTTCCCAAATCATTTATAATAGTTTTATTACTATTATAATACTTTCAGTAGGTCTATCCAAGTCAAAGATAAGTGGTTGTCAACCCCAAGTCTATGACAATCAACCCCAAAATTAAAACCATACTGATATTTCATAATCCATTAATAATTATGTCTGTTTATTTAAAATAATTTATTACTAGTTATATTTCCCATTTATATTCTGGCTACCCAACAATTTAATGAATTATTAATGGCGGACAGACGTATATCTCCCGCAATATTTGTCAGGCGACAAAGTCACATGACCGCCATAAAAAAGTGATGCGAGATATTTGTCAGTAAGCCTTGTCAAGTGACCGCGAATTATTCAAAACTATTGTTCATTTTAAAATCTATTTCTCTACCAAGTAATGTAGAGTATCTTGCAAACAAATAATAGAAAAAAATACTTGGGTAGATTACCAAAACAAAGTGGGGGTTAAGCAATAATGCATTCTAGAAGGAAGCAATGCTGAGAGGAAGAGAGAATTACGGTAATAAAAAATACAAATGCTAAACAAATAATAGTGAGCATGATAAATAATTAAGTTTAAGGCGGGGAGGTCGACAGTTGACAAAGAAGTAGACGCTACATCTTAAAATAGGGCTGATATAATGGTAGCCTAGCCTACTTCTCATGCAATACTAAATACTAATACTGAAATACAACTTTATTGACATAGGTCTATTGAAGTCTACTGGTCTTATTTTATTTGCTTCAAATTTTAAATTTAAGCTTCAAGGTAGAGTGGGTAGAGCTTTACAAGATATATAACCAAGATAAGGGACTTTTTTCTTTGAAGATTCAGAATCAAATAGTCTAGTAATAGTTAGGGATGTGCCGGATCTGTTTTTTCCAACCGGATCCGGATTTTCTTATGCGAAATCCGCCGGATCCGGATTCCGGTTTCTCCCGGATTTTGGTACTATTGGTAGATACTTCGGTAAGTCAAGGTGGACTACTACTTTTTGTGTATGGGAATTCGCAATCGGCGCCAAAAAATCAGAGTTTTTAATTTTCCGATGTGTGTGTCTATTTATTATTAAATTAGTACTTTCGATATATATTTGAGTTCCGTTCCATTTGGATAAGTGTCTTACGAGAGACGCCATGTTTCTACGCGTTCGCAGCAGGTTATGCAGCTCGCTCAACCTAATTTCGCCATGGGGTTGGCCACGCCCCCCTTTTTAATGGCGGAAGTTGACGATACTTAGGAAATATTAATTTATTATCACTATTTACATCAAAATAATTGATAACTTGTGTTTCAGAATGCATTTAAAGACATTTAAACTGGAATGTTTTAATTTGAGCTTTAACAACCCGGTAGAATCCATATTATAAATGATCAGAATTTACCGTGTGCAACACGTTGTCATTGGCAACCATTCACAGCCACTTGCATAACTGTATCGTAGTACTACCTCAGAGTTTCATTCATAAGAGTTTGCCGTGTGCAAAAACTATTAAACCATTGGTCAGGGAAAGCTTTAATTAATTATTCATGTGCCAAAGTTGAAAGTTTAAACTAAGTCTAAACAGTATTTTAGTGATAAGGCAGGGAATGCGTTGCCTTATATAAACTATATAGTCATTGCGCATGACGGGATTGGCGGAATGAGATCACAGAATGTGGAGATGCAGTCCATGTTAAAAAATGACAAACCAAGTCGTACTTTAAAAATTCATAACTTTAAAACTACAACAGCTAAAAATATGATTTTGGTGTTATAATTCTTTAAAAAATTACATCTTTTCAACTATGCCATTGGTTTATTTTTACAAAAAGTTTAAATTTTCTTATCAAAGTCCCTACACTATTGGCCACTATTAGCGGTGCTGACTCTAGCCTCTGGTATG